CCGCGGTATATAGATTTATTTTCGTCGTTCGTACGAGCTTTTCCGCTTCGGCTCACCGGGTGTTTACAGTCGAATGAAAATTTGCTCGGTAGCCAAATATTTTTCCGTCGTCGCTCGGCTCTCTCCGCCCGTGTTTCGCCCACCACTACCACCGCCACCACCGCCAACCATCACCACCTCCTCATCCTCCTACGTTCTCTTCCCCTCCCTCCCCCCCCGTGTAACGCGGGTCAATTTCATCCGGCGCGTATTTATACACGGGTGCGCCCAGATATTTAGCGCGCGGGGAAGCTGTATGTGCGTGCGTGACGAGGAGGGCGCGGAATTAGTATCGAGCATTAATGCGAGGGAATAGGTGGAAAAATAAATAACTGCCGGAAGGGATTTATTGGTCTAAGCTACGCGGCGTGCCGTCGGCACCTCGGGAAAACGCCGCTATCGCTCTCTTTTTATCTCTATCTTTCTCTGCTTTTCAATTATCTCGTTACCACGACCGGAGCGACGTTGACAGCGCAGGAAAAGTGTAATGCGATTCATAGGCACGAGTGTGCGTGTTTATATACCCCGGCGCGTTATAGTCGCGCGACGGATAATGGCATCGGCGGATGATGTTACTCGTGGAGCCGGCGGCAGCATGAAGATAGGAAGAGACGGGAAAACGCGTTCGATCGATCGACGATTATCGGTGCCGAATGCGGGGGTTATTTTCTTATCTAACGTTACGTCGCACATCGTGCCGGATCATCCCGCAAGGAAACGGTATACACGGCTATTTCTCGCCTTCCCGTCGTTCGCGCGTGTGACGTCGAAACACGAGAGAGTCACGCTTAACCACGCGCGAGCAGCACGATCCGCGGGCTAAATGAAGCGGTTATGATTCGTTCGCACAACCGCGATCGACGCGAAATATATTGCGATACATTTAAAATACATATTTAAATAAAATATAAATAAATAAACTAAAAAATAGCCGAGCGAGCGAGCCGGCGTTCGACGACACATCCGGCGAGAGATCATTAATTCAAATGAATTTATTCCCGTTGAAATGAAAGCGAATATACGGCGACGTGTCCGTTAAAGGACCGCACGGTGGAGCGTTCGTGACTGCGCGAGAGACAGACTTATTTGACACGCTCTTTCAGGACCCGTCGCTCGACGACGATGACTCGCTTATTTAGGACAACAATAATCCAACGTACCGGGTGTCGTGCAGCAGCTGCTGCGGCCGCAGCGGCTGCAGCCGCATTGATACCGGCGGCCGTAGCCGCGTTGATACTGGCGGAGGAATACATCCTGCAGCCCCGACGTATTACTGTGACGCCTTCGTCCGAGACTTCTCTACTACCGCGCCTCGTGGTAAGCGCTGTCGCCACCGTTCATCACAGCCGCGATGTGGAAAGGGACGATATCGGACCCTCGGTATATACACACACAACACCCACGCGTGTACAAACGGCGAGAGACGCACGCACACAAAACTGATGATGAAACACCAACCACAAGTCCTCACGTCACAACGACCGTCGGGCACCGTCGGGTTTCACAAGCGTGCACGCACAATCGCCAACACGCCGATCGTGCGTTGTTCTTGTTGCCGTTGCTCGACGAGGTAACGCATATCGTGTAGTGAAGAACGGTCACGAGGACGATCACGAGTACGACAACGATAAGAACGTGTCCGTCGCAACAGAGGTTATATCGCCGAGTTCGCGGGAAGACCCACCGGAATGCGGCGTAAAAAACGACACGTACTCACCGACGCGTGAGCATCAACTGATTACAGCGCGCAAGACGGCGTACGGGGAAGCGCAAACGCTCGCTCCGCCACCTTTCGGACACCAGGTGTCGCCCGGCGCGCCCTCCACGTGCTCCGTGAACTTCGCTTATTCCGCTGACGCGCGCCATCGCGTCGCGAGCTCCGGGATGGGTCTATGCTATTGCGCTTGTTTTCGAATCCCGAAGCGAAGCGCAACTGAAGTCGTCGAGGCGCGCGAGAAATTCGTCCGAGAAGTAAATTGCGCACGAGCGTTCGCGTGATTCTTCCTCCGGAGGCCGCGTCCGAGGGTTGGCCGAGCGTTTTATGATGAAACGTGACGCCGATAGGAAACGGATGACTCGCGCGATGCATGATAGTCGCATTGATATTTCAGAGAGATCTCGAGAGGGACTCGGAAGCCGAAGAACGAGAACGTGGAGGTCGTCGGAACGGGAAGGAGCAGAGGAAATTCCACACGCTATTCCGCGACTTATCATCGTCGCGCGCGGACGGAAGGACAGGGGAGGTAAGGATGTTATATGTACGAGTCGAAAGATAACGCGCGCACGGAATGTCCGAGTGGCGGCGAGATAATGCTCTCGTATCTCGCCGGTCACTCTCTCTCCCTCTCGGCCGAGCGTGCCCGGAGACGCGTTCACTACCAATCTTTATCGAGGCTGTTATCTCGCGGAAGAGTATTGCGCAACAACAAGGCGCGATGCTCCCCCGTGCAGGATATACGTTTCTTGTAACCGGATCGATCCGAGCGGGGAAAACTCCTGGCGTTTTCTTCCCGATACACTTTCGGCCGACGCTAAGTCCTTCAAGTATAAGTTCGACCACTTCCGACTTCTCACTGATTGGTCTGGTTCTTTATTTTGATAAAAAATCGCGGAACCGAGGATTGTCGAATAAGTGGATTCTGTTTGCCACTTGTTATTCTAAAAAAGATGGGAGATAAATAATAATAAAATAAATTTAAAATCTATTTTTATGAATAATGTTATAGCAAGGTGTCTACTGTCTGGGAATACCTGATAAATCTGAAATTCTCAAGGAATTTTATTGGAAGGCAGGGAATTTTAAATAGATATTTGTGTGCAAGCCATATTACCGCGTTACTAATTGACAAATATTGTTTTACTGAATTTTATTTAATTTTCTTCATTAAAAATCATAGAAAAAATAGTTTAAGTTTTTTTCGACTTGATTTTTACTTAATTTTAACTTTAAATTTAATTAATAAGAAATAGCGCTATATAAATTGTAGACGTGAATTTAATATTTTATATATATATACATGTACATATACATTTAATTGTTCTTAAATTTATGTTTAATATTTAAATATTAGTCTTCTTTTATGTTTATAATAGATTCTCTTTTGTTTTATATTTATGTATATAATTTAAATATTTAATTATGTTATTCTGATATTTAGAACGCACTGATTTTACGATTAAACTGACATTCTATATTTAAAATAACGATTTTGTGTTAGGTGTAATTTTGTTTAATTAAAACAGATAGTTATTTTTATTATTTTAATAATTTGATAAAAGTAGAACTAATACCGCTTACGCGTTGTATAATTTTTTGTTTGTAACTTTTGAAAATAAATTTTGAAAATTTTATGCAATATAAAATATTCCACTTTCAGAGTCCTTACAGTTTCTTTCAAAAATTTTCAAATTTAATCATTGAAATTCGAGTGATTTTTAATTTAATTTTATAATTTATAAACTTTTATGGATAGAAAATATTGAGGACTTTGCACGATAAATATTTCATCATTTGTCAATTAGTAACGCGGTAATATGGCTTGCACACAAATATCTATTTAAAATTCCCTGCCTTCCAATAAAATTCCTTGAGAATTTCAGATTTATCAGGTATTCCCAGACAGTAGACACCTTGCTATAACATTATTCATAAAAATGATTAAAAAAAATTCATATTTAATCATTTGCAAAATACATTTGAAAATACTTTCACTTTATTTGGAATTTTTAACAAATCGCCTAGAAGATTAGGGAATTCTCGTAGAATTTTTGTTTCACGTTCGAATATATACACTCTATTATATATAATAAGATAAATGACACATATCCTCAGAAAAATGTGCCTGAACTCGATATATATATTATAGACACTCTTCACAGATAAAAACATTCTAGTGACAAACCGGACGCCATTTTTTATCAGAAAGTCGAAGATTACTGGACTCTTACTTGAGGGACTCTAGCTAATGCGAGATAAACCTCCGGGCACGGGGACGATTCGCTTATCAGTCTTATCGCAGCACTTTTATCGGTCAGTAATCGCTCACGGACTTTCGTACCGATCGCCGGTGTCGCGATACATCGGTGACTTTTACGCACTCACTATCGAATGCGCAAGTGTCAACACGCGCGCGCGCACCGATACTTTCGCAAGAACCAGTGGCGATACGCGGTATCGTTATCGCTCGCGATAATAAGAGGAAAATATTCGCGCGACACAACAATATAAACGGGCAAAAAGAGCCGCTATTCTCTTCTCCGCAAATGGTGTTCGCTTATCTTCAGCTCAAAGCGAGCGTTCGCCGAATAATTCTAATCCATGACGATGAATATCGACGTTTTCTAATGTCGTTGTATAATTTGACCGTGACGCTTTGCTGTTCGTCGAACAGAAATCCTGGACTGACAAAAGAATTTTTTCAACAGGTAGTCCAAAGGATCCGTTGGGAAAGCTACAACAAACCAATAGTGAGGAAAACGTGAAAAGGGCAACCGATGCGGATTCGATGTCGAACACAAGGAAAATCAACGTTGAACAGAGTAGGCCAAGAGTTACGTTACAGGGAAAAAAGTTAGCCACAAAAGAGGGAGAAGTAGAAGAAAGAAGAGAGAGAGAGAGAGGAGAAAAGGAAGCGGAAAAGGACAAGATTTTTCTGAACCTCAGGGGCCTCGAAAATCTGGCAATAAGTTACACAAAAACCGTGTCTAACGAGGACGCGTTTGTTCACACGTTTCGCTCGCCCGGTCGTTCGTTTGAATGACGCACGGTTTCGCACTGAAAAGTATCGCGTCAAAATACTTCTCGTTGCGTCGCGTCGGCTCGTCGACGCGCGAATCGGATACGCGCTCGTCGGTTGGCTCGTCGAAAAACGTGTTTATCGGTTAATTGGCATTATTCTTGCCGGATGACCGGTAACGGCCTGCCAATTGGCACGGTCGTTAATCGGCCGGCGATATATAGGACAGCCAAACGACATCGTTGCGCTCCGCACGTGCGCGCGTCAAAGTGGCCGAAGAGCAGCCTTGAGCGGCGACTCGCTCGACTTCCGCTTCCGAGGTCTCGTTATCCTCTTCGTATACGGGCGGCTACTACATATACGTACGAATGAGAGAGAGAGAGAGAGACTTCGTTTGGTTCGTTTTCTTCGTTTTCCACGTTCTAGCGTTGCGAATTTCGCGCTGGTAATTTTGCGAGGGCTCAAAAACGCCGGAGTTGAGGAGTTACGAGGGACGAGACCGTGCGGTCCGTTTGGACAAACAAAGATATCTATGCCGCCTGTGTGCATACGAAGTGCAGTAGTCCACTTTCTCCTACGCGTGTGCAACGAGAGACGAGAAGGGAGCGACAAGTTTATTCTTGATTATTATTTCCAGAGAATTTTCACGGGGGTTTTATGTTAATCTCGTCGCAGTCGCGTCGATGGAAGCCGCGATAAGCACGTTGCGCTGAAACCACGGCGAGAACGCGTCTCCCCCGCGATTCAGGTCGGACGGTTCGCGGGCGGGCGAGAGATGATGTTGCCGAGCGGTTCCGTGCGAGACAAACGGAAGAGCCACCGCGATCCGGATGGCATATTATGAAAATGACGGAGGTGTGCGCGCCTGGAAACACGAGGGAGGAAGAAATCGCGTTACGTGCCGCGGAGGCGCGGCGTGGAAAAAAGCTCTCGAAATCTTCTCTCTTGCTCGCTCGCTCTTCCTCCCTTTCTCTTTCTCTCTCTTCCTCAAGCTTTGACTCGACGTTCGCCGCTGCCGTCGACGACACAGCAGCAGCGGTAGCAACGATGCGACTCCGATTGTAAAAAAGCGCTCGGAAAGCTTCTCTTCTCAGCGATATCTCTTTCTCTCTCTCTCTCTCTCTCTCTGCGCAACTCGACTCGCGTGATTACGCGCGCCTACACATTGCCTGCACATCGACACAAGTAGAGATTCGTAAGCATTCCCTCGCGCATATCCGCGCCCGGAGAACGGAGGAAAACGACTCGTTCGCGACTCGTTCGCGACAGCGTTGAGGCGCCGTTACAGGCGAAATAAAGAAAAAGGGTACGCGACTTATTTCGCGCCCTCTTTTTCCGTTAATATTCGCCACGCCGGAGTATCGAAGGCGAAAGAGAGAAAGGGAGAGAAAGAGAGAGAAAGACACGGCCGGTTACTTTTCATCCGTCAAGTCCATCCGAGCGACGGGCTGCGGAAAGAGCCCCTGGTACGGGTCGAATCGAAGCAGGGAATGAGAGCGAGACGATAAGGTGGTCGTCGTCGTCATGGAGGGTGGCGAGGAGGAAGAGAAGAGGCAGGAGAAGAAGAAAGAGGAGAGCGCCGGAGGAAGAGAAGGAGTAGCTCGGTGGTACGCGGCGCGAAATGCTCTTCGCTGATTTCCTTCTCTAAATATGGCCGCCTTCGTGTGCGCTCCTCTCGCTCTTTCTCCTCTTCCAGGTGTACCGTCGCAACGCGACGCGACGCCGCGCGCCGTAACCGGCCCTGCTTGCCCGAGGTTCTACTTGATTGCCAAGGCGTCTTAACCTCGGCCTCGTAGCAGCAAGCAGCAGCAGCAGCATCGGCAGTGACGACGGCGGCGGCACTAGCAGCCTCAGCAACCGACAACGGCGTCCGCGCGGACAGCTCGACTGAACTCCGACGACGCGACGGTTGCCTATAAGAATCGCGCTCGTCGCGCCGTAGCCAACCTGTGAGCATAAAAATACGCGGTGACGCCCCGGCTCGAATAAAGAGGCGTCGTCGAGCGGTGAAAAAGGCCAATCCGGCCGGAAGAACGCCGGCTCGCCGACCAATCTCGCGCGCGCGCTTTAGCGCCCGACGACAGCCGCTCGTCCAGTCCGCGCGGATACATTGTGTGTACGTGGGTACGATCTCTACCTGCCTGCCTGCCTACCTACCTACCGACCTACCTACCTATCTACCTACCTACTTACCTATCTACCTTACCTACATCTACCTATCTAACGTCTACGTATCTTCCTAAATCTACTTGCCTACCTATATCTACCTTCTTACACACATTTGTCTATCTACGCATACCTACACCTGCTTACTTATTCACATCTACCTACTTACTTGCTTATCTACCAATCCGCCAACCTACCTATCTACCCGTCTACCTATTTACTCATCTACCTACCTACCTACCTACCTATCATCCCTTAATATGCCTCTCTACGTACTCTCTCCCGCGACAGCATCATATACGCGTGTACGTGCGCGTGGGCGCACGTGGTCTAGGATCTGTACTTTAGGAATAGACAAAAGAAGCGAAAGATTGAAGGCTAGAGAAACAGAGTTATATCCCCGTTGGTCCGTTCAGTTTCGAGCGCGATGAAAAGGGCGCGACGACGGCGACGATTGTTGCTGCGGGAACGTTGTCTTCGTCGCACGACCGGAGAAAAACGACTCGTAGCGGGAGACGCCGCCGTCGCGTAGGTCGTCGTCGTGTTGGTCCGTGACCAATTAATACCGACGCCTCTCCTTTTTCCAGATCGTCCCGGAATAGCCGAGCGCGATTTTCGTACTAGGTAGCCGACGACGGAGTCGGAGGAACATTCGGTTAAGCATGTAACGATCGCCTCTTCATCCTCTTCTATTCGTCTTCTTCCCGCTCCTCCTCCTCCTCTTTTTCCTATTTCGCTTCCCCTTCTTCCCTTCCACCTCTTGCTGCCCGCGCCTCTCCCGCCGGTCGGGAAAGAGATATTACGTGGCGTTACATTGTATTTCGTCTGGGAAAAGAGGAAACGATCCCGGCCGTGACCCACCCGCCTGGTCGTTTCAGTTCATATTGCGCGCGGATGTATAATCGTATGCCGGGTCGCCGCGTATCACGCTCGATCGCGCGCTGAAATCGCCGACGAATTAAAGACTACTTAAGACGCGTATACATCTGGTGAACGAACAACGAACGAGTAACGAACGCGTGACGTGCTCGCGACGTAAACGCGCACGAACTTTCTTCTTTTCTGTTCGGACCTGTATTTGACCCGAAGTCGCTTTTATTTCCCCGTTACATTTCTATGCGGTGAGTGAACGTTCCGGCATTTCATGACTTTCCCAGGTAGCACTGTTAGTTTTACACACGTTCTTTATACATATATAACACGATTATGAAACGTTACATACATTTAAAGAACGAAACCGACATGTGTTACCTGGGTTTGTTTCATAGCTTCAAATTAAGGTTGCTTGAGCTATAAAACAAAGTCGCCATGAAACGCCAGGACCGTTCAAATCGCATAAAATCGCGGAGAAACGTAACGGGGAAATGGACGGGTCAGCAGAGTGAAAACCATCTAATGAGCCACCTTATGAGCAAATCGGCCCGAAGCGTTCCGTTCGGATTTGTCACGAGCATTTTCCGAAATGTCATAACGAAAGTTTGCATTCGCTGTTTGTTCGTCATTCTTTCGCTAGGTTCGAGGTAAAAAGTACCAATGGGCTGGACATGTACCTAAACGTGGACATTCTTGTTCATTTCGGTCTTTAAATACGAATATTTAATTTTAAATCATAAAGTAATTGCATATATTCAATAGAAGTATTTTATGTTGAAAATTTGAATATTCCTATGTAAAGACGAAAACAACAAGAATGTCCATGTCACCTGTCATTGGTACTTCTACCTCCACCTTACGCACATTTATCCACCCGACGTAGCCGCACAGCTCGCTTAACCGCGCACGCGCGCGCGCGATCGAACCGCTCGTGTCGCGGATATGTAAGAATCGTTGGGTTCCGAGCGACGGCCGCGTGCGGATAACGAGACATTTCCTACGGAAATTCAATCTCGCGCGCGCCGCAAGGTGTACGCCGTAAACACGCCGGCCGATCGATCGGACATTTTTCCTAAGATCGATCCCGCGGAGGTTGCGGATTGAATCGTCGCGAAAACCCCGGTGAGAACCGTTACTGTCAATCGCGGCCGATCGAAATCGAATTTACGGGCGGTCCGTTCGGCCGCTCGCGCTCGTTCAGCCGAGCCGAATGAAATTCCAACGATATCGCAGCGAGTCGCTCCGAGGCAAACGAGCTAAAAATTGCGAGCTATCCCCTTTCTACCGCGTTACGGTCCTCGATTATGATGTCGATAATGACAGCCGGCGCGCTCGGGCTCGCGAGCGATTATGAAAATGCAATCGGGGGATATCCAGTTCCTCCGGCGGACGAGGCGAGCGAGTGGATACGATTTCTTTCCGACCGGGCGTGATAACCAGTCGCGCGTGTAACCAACGGCTGCACTCTCGCCTTTTACAGATGTTACACGCCGCGGCGCACCGCGTGATTACATCGCGGCGATACGTCGATCCCCGTCGCCGCGATCCGATGTCCCCGACGTCGAATTAGCGGCGAGTAAAAGGAACTCGATGAGACGGAACACAATCGACCGTGGCAACGGATGAGTCACGCTGTACTTCCGTTTCCAATTTACCGCTCGCCTCGCGCGCACCTTCGTCGATTCGTCAATCCACGGGGATGTCGAGAAGATATCCTCCGGTGGAGTTTTACGCTAATTTCGCTCGTGAAATCGCACTTACCGTGTCCTCCCTCCCCCTCTCTTCCACCGGGAGCCGTTTCCTCGGAGGAGAGGCGCATTCTTGAGGTTACAGACGATCTTATCAGCCTGGGGACTCGGGGTGGGAAACAAAAATGCGGAGAGACAGAGGAAAAGGGATACATAACTTTATTTTATTATTATTTCCTTTCCTCGTACAACTGTTTGTGGGCATTAGAACGATTAAACCTCCACTTTCACGTACGCTATGTTTACCATAGACGCGCATAGTCAGTTACATCAGCGTCGATTTGCCGGCTACTCGCTCGTCGTAGAAAGACTCCGTTCCGTGAACGGTCGTCCTGGGGGGCGCCGTTCGTCGGACGACGAAAATCAATTGTCTATAGAAAAGCATCCGGCAAGATCCCGGTGAGGCTCTTACATACGCGTGTAATGCACATAGTCGCTCTTCGACGAAATGCCGGCGTTAACGCAAAGTGTTCCCTCACATTCTCAAATGCGACTCTACGGAAAAAGGTGAGAGAGAGAGAGTGTGTATGTTTTGTGTGTGTGTGTGTGTGTGTGTGTGTGTTGTGTGTGATTAATATATAATTCAACTTTATTTTAACTCTTACTTCAGGAAACGTCCGCCACGCACACGCCACAACTCGAAATGGCTGATTTGAGGAAACGAAAAACAGAGACCGGATAACGAAGGAAAAAGAAAAGAAGAAACCGAGTCCGGTAACAGAGAGTGACGTTGTTGTTGCAGTAAGTGCGGAAATTATAAATAGATGTGGTGCACAGTTAACAATTTTTATACACACCTATGTATATATATATAATATATATATATAATATGTATACATATACAGGGTGTCCCGTATGCAACTCCGAAGCGGCGAAATTGATGTCGACTTTCCCTTGGTACAAATCAGACGGGAAGTTCGATCCCACGGACACCCCGTGTGTGTGTGTGTGTGTATATGTATGCGTGTGTTAATTATCGGTTATAAAAGTAACCCGTGTGGTAGTAGCGGTGTTTTCTATCGAAGCGGACATTGATATCGAGGGGAGAAGGGGGATATGGAAAATATATAGGTGCGTCACATTCGTGCAGCGCCGATCACACGTTTCATACAGCAGCAGCAGACATACATACACGCACGCACGCACGCTCGTCGGAGATTATTCCGTCGGTTCTCCGGGTCCAGGAGAGTATACCGATATCTTTTCTGCGCGTTGTTACAATATTTAGGGAAACCGAGGAACCTCCCCCGCGAGAAGCGCGTCGATTCTCACTACAGCCGTCGTCGTCGGTTCATTATTGAATTAGCCTACGTGTACCTTCTCCTTCCCCTCCCTACTCCTCCTTCTCTTTCTCGATAACATATCTCTAAATCAAATCATGTTGTATACCTTGCCAAGCTGTTATTATTTCGGTGGACGCTCCTGGTCCGAGAAATACTTAGTGGCGTTCGGGAAACGCAGCGGATCCGGGAAGTCCGCCGTGCCGTATCTGCGTGGGTTCAAGCAGTCCCTGATGGCTTGACCGAACGCACGCCTAACAGCGGGGTCAGCTGCGACAGCCACGGCGGCACCTTCGACCTCCTCCACGCCGGCTCGACCGACACCCTCCCGCACCAGTCGTTCCATGGACGCTGCTATCGTCGAGTGGTTCGGCGTGGGGCTGACCAGCAGGCGCGGTTTCTGTTGCTCGATGAGCTTGCGGCGTTTAGTAGGTAGCCCGCCGAGGTACGCGTCACTGAACGTCGTCACGCCGCTATTCGTCACTCCCTGCATCTGCAACTGACGACGTTGCCTCACACCGTCGCGAGCGATAATCGGCACCCAATCCTAAAAGTGGCATTCGACTCGTATTTTAATCTAACGTCGCGCTCTCCGAGAGTAGGACGGTATCATTTTCAACCGTACGCGGCGCGTCCCGAGGAGTTTCTATATAGAAATCTCTCGGACACGAGGTATATCGATTGAATCTCTCTTCTCTTTCGGCTAAGACTGATTTTTGCAAGTTCGGAAAATTGTAGCGAGTATTAGTCGACGGTAGATAAGCCGCCGTTCGTAATCGCGTCGTGTCATACCGAGGGTAAGGCTTCGTGTCCAGCGAATGTTTCCGGAACCTCTTCTCTGTCCTCGGGCACCGAAGTCTCGCGCGTCGGCCGCTGCTCTAGAATCTCGGTCTCCATCGGCTACACGCAGTTCGAATTGCACGTGTATAGAATTAAGCTTTCTTACTCACGATTATTCTTGTTTAACGACGTCAGAAGCGAGAAAACGTACGGACAGGAATTTTTGCATATTACAGACAAAAAGATACATCCGCAAAATGATCCATTCAGTGATCGATTCAGCACACTTGTAAAATTACACGGACACTTTTCTTTCAATCGAAGATCCAGTAAATGGTCGCAAAATTAATGGCATTTTCCCTTCTAGCTTCTTTCCTCATGAAATATTTGTTAACGTTAATTTCACGACTAATTTATTGATGTATCTCTTTATTTGAACGTGCAGCGGAAAAATTCTTGGCACGCGTTTTTCCACTTCTGACGTCATTAAACATAAACAGCCGCAGCGAGTATCCAGAAGTCTCGAGGAAAATACACAGTAGCGTAAATAAATTGAGCGACAGTTACCTCGTCTTCGGGTGACGTCTGAGTAGGCTGACGGGCCGAAGCGGAGGACTGTACCGATGACTGCTGGGACGGTGAGTCCTTGTACACCAAAAGCGAGACGATCTCCGAATCCGAGGGTTGCGGTGCGCGCTGGGAATAGGCACGGAAATGTTCAAGAAATCCGTCCAATATCCACTGACGAAAGGCGGGTGGAGAACCTTCCAATCTGTCGTCCTGACAAACGAATCACAAAAGCATTATATGAATTCTTTCTCGTTCTTCCATCGCGTTGTCGTATTTGACCCGGCAAGCAAACCGGCAGATTTGGAGCAACCAGAGCGGATCCGATCCAGTAGCTCCATGTTGTAACTTTTAACGACATCGTTGCGCAAGTATAATATATGGCGAAGAAAAACGTAATGCGTAACGTGACGCTAACGATCGTCGTTAAAAGTTACAGGACAAACTTACAAAACATCTTGGCAAACTTATAACTATCTGCGTCCGCATTAAATTCGCGTTCTGTCGGCAGAGCCTGTTGACATAACTCGACAGCAGAAACCGAGCAAGATCCGCAGCATGTTCCATTTAAATACATTTAAATGGTGACCGACCGACAGATTCTGTTCGACTTCTGCCGTCCACTTGTTATCATACTGTTAACACTAAATCCCGCTAGCAAGCTGCCAACAAAATTTACAGATCTGCTTCTGCAGATTTGGCTATCCGGGTGAATTGAAGGGGCATCAGGACTAACCAGGATGCGCGTCACAATCGCTTCTAGTCCGGCTTGACCGCCTTGTATAGAGTATCGCAACACTGCGCACAACTGCTTGGCCAGATTTTTCACGATGTCCAACGCATCTTGTGCGAACCATCCGTCGTCGTAAGCTGCGAACACACGTCCGATTGTAAAACGCGCAAGGTACGTTCGATTCGTGGGGGAAAAAAAAAAACAGCGTCAAAAGTCGTCAAGTACTAACTGGTATCGAACAAGATTCTAAGTATGTCTCTTGTGTAGCGGGTGATCAGCGCCTCGATGGTCGCGCAGACGTCGATGCGCGAGCCGCTTCTGCCACCTGCGTCTTCCTCGGACGCTAAGATTTCCCGGAGATACGGTCGCAGCTGGGAGAGCAGGTTTTCGGTCACCTGCTCCTGAAGAGCGTTTCGCGAGGCACTCGGGAACACGTGCCACAGAAAGTCCCGCAGCGGTCTGCGCAGACGAGAGATGGGCTCCCATTCGCCCAAGCTCAGTCTCAATATTCCGTCGACAGTCATGTTTTGAGCCTGCAATCGCGCGTTACGATTCCTCGCTTTAATGAGTGTGTTCTCTACGTAGTAACGCGAGCCGACACGAGCGTCGCTCCGTCCTCGTTCCGTATTCAATGAGAAACAAAGACGGTGCCTGTGCGTTGATTTGTGTCAATAAATGGAAAGCACTCAACGTCGCCGAGAAGGGAAGAGTCGCGAATAAACGCTCGCTGCGACGTCAGCGTGGTGACATAATTACCCCTAATATGAGAAGATCGAAGAGCAAGTTGTCTTCCCTGCTGGTAGCATGTATGTTCAAACCACCGCTCTCGATTAAGTCGGCCAAGGTGAAGTCGCCAATTGAGTTTCTGATCGAGGGGAGAATTGTAACGGTTAGCGCACTGTACACTTACTCGCACGATCGCGAAGATTCTACCATTCCCCGCAGATTTCTCCGTCGATATCAAACATACCTGCCGTTTACGTACCCTACGTGTATATTATGACTCCCGAGCATCTGCACCATGCTCTCGAGACCCTCCTGAGCTGCAACACAATCGGATCTGTCAGATCGTCGTTGTCGCAAATACAGAGATCAAGATTCGATCGATTCAATTACCGTTGCTGTTCGGCTGCGACCGACTAGCATCCAGCATGTGCTGTAACAGGTGTCCCAAAAGATTGCTGTTGCTCAAGCCGGCGTTCGTCGTCGACGTCCCGGTCGTGGAAGTGGCGCTGGCGCTGGTCGACGTTGAAGTTGTTGCTGAAAAACATCCGTTTAAGTTCGCACAAAGGAAAGGATACAAAACACACGTCTTTCTCCTTCCCTTCCGGAAGGGAAGAAGAATTAGCGCCGGTCGGGAGTGCGCTTACCGGTTTGCGCTTGGCTCGGCGGAGCGTCCGTAGTCGACGTCGCGGTCGTTGGTGTCGTGCGTGTTGTCTGGGAAGTCGTCACGCCGCCATTCGCGCTGGTGCTCGGTGTGCTGGTTGGTGTACGGTACACGTGATGCGAGTTGCACGGCAAATAAGGGTCAAAGTCCAGTCCCAAACCAATGCTCATGCCGAGGCCCACCGGGTGAGTGTGATGATGGAACACGTGCGGCCGCGATGTACTTCGAGTTTGCGTCGCAGTGGTAGGGTGAGTGCCGACGTTGCTCCTGTCCGCAATATCTCATCGTAGAAATTTCGTACTTCGCCATTGTAAAACGGCGTGTATATATGTATGTGATAATATATAAAATAATAACATGTGACATTATATGTTGTGTGTATAATATATTAAGACTATTCTTTTAGACGTGTCTCTTGATATATCAGGTTGATTAAACACCAGTGTTGTGTTGTTGAACAATTATTTCTCAAATTAGCATATGCCGATAAAGGAAAGGTGTGTTCCACGGGAAAAACCTTTTAATCAACCTGACATGAATGAATAACGTCGCCGTGGACAGTACGTACCGTGCTTGAGTGCTTTGACCGGAATTCACGTTTCCGCTGTCCATCGACGCGGCGGGAGTGCTCTGAGACAAGGTGGTGGTGGGTGGGGTTCGCGACGTGCTTATGGTCGTGGCACCGAAACCACCGTGCACCATATGACCGGCGACGGCCTGCATGAAATTCCGCATGAAATATGGCGGCGGAGCCGGACCGAACGGAAACACACCGGTTCTGCCTGTGTGAAGTGGAAAAGACGTCGTGTCACAATCGGTAATCGCGTTTCTTCACGCTTAGGTAACGCGACACGAGGTCGTCATTCACTCACGAGCGTTGCCGCCGTTGTTGCCCTCCCCAGCGGTGCTCTGTTCATTATTCGCTCCGTCGTCCATATTGCTTTCGGAACTGACCTCCATCAGCACCTCCACGTTGTTTGGGAAATTGAACACTGTAACTGAAACGTCAAGATTTGCTCCGACGAATATACACGGTACTTGGCGCGACGACACGCGCTGGTCGCGACGCAAAACGCACCGAGGGGCGATTGGCCTTGCTCCTGCTGCGGTCGGTCCGTTTGTGGCTGCGTCGTGCCATCCGGCTCTCGTTCCTGACCACTCTCCTCGGCGTGGACGCGCGATGCATTGTCCGGCTCTGAATTGTTGTCCGACTGCGGCATCTGCTGATTGCCGGCTTCGGCCGTCTCGTCGTTACTGTTGTTGTTGTTAACTCCGCGACCGTTCAGACTGATATGAGCCTGCGAGGGGTTACGATGGATCAACGTCCAGGCGGTCACGTTCACACCGACGAGCCAATTAGTGGCGAGTACACGCGTGTACGCGTATAGATTCAAGCGGCATGCTCACCTCCACTTGAATCGGTATACCAGGTTGTAAAATGGCCGAGTGCTGCACTATTATTGGCCTACAACGTAGGTTCCTCGGCGGTGGTTGGCTCATGTCAATGATGATATCGCTGAGCGCGTGACAGGTGTGCGACATGTAATGTAAAATCTCGCTGACACCGTCCACTATACGCTGACTTTCCTCCACGGTGTTCGGGCCAGGCTGAAGGGCAATTGATTCTCAGTAAAAGGAAAACGAGATCACGTGCGGAAAGCTCTTATCGACTTACCCCGGGTGGTAACGATGGATCGACCAGCGTGAGTACGCAGTAACGCTCCAAGTACGGTCTCAGCCGATCTTGGGTATTGTACAGTCTCTGCAATAACTCGGCCATTTGCGGCGGTCGTGGAAGGCTGGAAGCGAGACAACTAGCGGTTACAAGAGCGACCGTGGAGTCGTCTTTGGGTAAAGAATATCCTAAAAGCATCTCACGAGAGGAAAAAATTAACCTTTCGAGACCGGGAAGCTTATTTTTAGACTTTACATCGACCTGTTGTTTCTTTCAACACGTTACACGGACGTGTACTTGGAACTCGTGTACATTGGAAACTTGGTAAAATTGTCGAGAAAAATCGCGCGGCCTGCGAAGGTTAAACGAGCGCTGATAAACGCGCGAGACTTGTCGCGATAAATACTCTTGTTGTTGCGCCCGTCTGTTTTGTCCAGCGTTGCTCGACGTAGCCCCCGACTGCTCCGTCGCTGCTTGTTGCTGCTGCTGTTGCTGTTGCTGACGCTGTTGCGAGTGTGCTTGGGTGTCGCTTTGATTATCAGTCGCGTCACTCGTCGTGCCTCTTCTTCCCTCGGCACCGTTGTAATTGCCACCTACGCATCACCGGAAGTACGATGTAACGAGGGAACGCGACGGTGTTGCAAAACGTATCGCAACATGTACGTAGTTGGATCTATTCAGAGAGAGCGGCATTCATATTCCAATTTTACATTTAAGATCGTCTCAAATTCATCTTTAAGTGCCTATGTAGACAATGAAGTGGCACATCTCGCGATATGAATGCAAGATTATCTCAAAGTCTGTTCTTTTTAGCCGAACTGGCTGCACTAGTTTAAGAAATTTACGCGCAATGAGACGTGAGAATCTCGCACGTACGCTCCATACGTTTCAAGTGTGCAAATTATACGTAAATTTTGTGAACTTGCCCAGCCAATACAGCTATATAAAGAACGGGCCGTATGAATACCGCCGTCGAGTCGGACTCACGAATGTAATACCCACCTCGGAGCAACGTAACAGCGCGCGCACCAGCAGCGGATAAAGCGGCCGTGATAGCAGCCGCGGCTGCTTCTGCAATTCTGGCGCTACCGTCGGCGGCTCGTGCAACATCAGCGTTCCTGGGAACATGATAAGGAACGAGGCGTGAGCTCACGACGAGCAGCGCGAGGAAAACTACTCGACTCTAAAGCACGTATCAGGCTGTGCGTTGAGGATTGCGGACCAAAGAGATTAGAGCCCGGTGAATCGACTAATTACTATCTTGGCTCTTTGTCCCGACCGATCGGACCCCAGACCCGTATTCTGAACGCGCTTACAACGATGTTAGCGCGTTGATAAAACGAAAGATATGAATATTCTCGGTATCGCTTGTGTTCTGAACGCGGTGACAACGGTGCCCCCGTCAGGGAAAATCGACAAACACGCGTGGTTTACAGCAAAATTCCTATTCGGGACTATTAACGAGTTGACCTATTAGCGCGCCAACATTGTTGCGAACACGCTCAGAACACGGGCCTCAATCTTCAATCGGCAGCTGGGGACATTCAGTCTGATACTTACTCATCCTGTTCCACATCAGCTTCCTGCGTAATTATCTGCTGATGTTGCTGTACCGGCGGCTGTGCGTAGTCCGACATCTCGGATGGCGTGGGATGCAGCGGAGCATTTGGATCATCGAGCCGGTCGATCAATTCGTTTATGCGATCGAGCATGCGACCGGCGTGACTCAATCGACTGCCCGATAAGCTGTTGCTCAATTGCGGTATCCCTGCGGGAGACGCTTGTCAATCCACTGGTTAATAAGATCAAGAAGCCGGCCGAAGAAGGCGGGAAGGAGAGGCTATTCGCTTAAATATCTTACCATGACCCTCGACGAACTCCGCCGGCACGGACATGGCGCCTAGGTACATGGCGTTCCCATGCATCTGAGCGCGCGTGAGACGGTAATGAGATCGTTGCTGTTGCCTGTTGTTCGGCCCCTGCGCTTGTTGCCCGCTGTCGTTTCCGCGCTGGCCATGCTGGGGCGGAGCGCGTTGTACCAGATGCAGGACCTTACCGTTGACATCTGAGGAATCAAGCATCGCTTTGTGTATTACACAAGAGGATCACGTCGCGTCGTAACTTGCAATCAGCTACTTGTACCCCATAGGTTTGTTCTTTTCCACTGAACTGGCTGCGCTCACTTGTACCGGCTCTTTTACCCTCCTTTTTCCCACCAAGTCTCAACTGTATATCTCTCTCTTTTTAAGTTCCACAAATGAATATACGCTTCAGTTCAGAGGAAAAGAACAGACTGCATAGTAATTTACGTAGATATCATGTGCATATGTACCATAATCATTTAATTTCTTTTCATCTTGAAGCACTCGTCCGCAATAAATCAACCTCTGCGAATCGGCTGGTACCGCTACGGATTCTGCTATGTACTCTTTAAAGCCGCGGACTGTGATTTGCTTTAAAGAGAATTGAACGGTATTGTAGTGTGTGAATACAACGAAGCTGCGGAGTCAAGTGCTCCGGAGCGTGAGACTCGAAGAATGATTACTGCTGTCATCAGCTCAGAGCTAGTTGATTCGTAGGAAAGGATAAACAGACTGAGAGAAAGAGAGGGCAAATTAGGAGACTGAAGGCCGTAGCGCAGACAAAAATGTAAACAGTCAAACTTAAGCGGTAAAAAAATTACGTCTGGTCAATTTACTTGATTCTTACGTCTTCCTGCTTGCGTTTTTCTACGTCCCTCCGGCCTAAGTCACACCTAGCCTTACTCTCAGCACACGGAGCAAGTGGTCCGTTCCTGTTAGCTGAACCGACTGCATCAGTTCAAAAAATTTACACACACATAGAGAAACGTATGAACGTACGTACGATATTCTCACGCTTCGGTAAATTTCTCGAACTAACGTAGCCAGTTGAGCTAAAAAGGAAGAGACCAAATGCGTGTGACTTGCTGTCTCTTGCAAGAGAGGCACACGACCGAGGGGACTCAGTGATGGGAAATAATTAACGAGGCACAGTGTGTCGATTTACATATATATAACAAACTAGCCGAGCGAGACGGTGACTTACGTCGTCTTCCAAGGAGAAGACGTGATTCTGCGAATCCAAAGTCTTCACTGTTAGATCGATCATGGTTGGCGCGGTACTTCGCAGGCTCGACGTGGAAATTTCGGGATCGCCGATCGCGAACGTGTGACGCACCGGAGTGAGAGCGAGCGAGCGGCGGCGGCGGCGGCGACGACGGAGAATCGCGTTCGTGTCTCACGTTCGGTTGGGACACGGAGAAGAGGAAACAAACGCAGCAGCGAGGAAGATGCGCACCGCTGTAGCCGTACACGCCTTTGACGTCGCCCCGGAACCGATGAGGAGAATGCGAGACAGGCGCACGTTCGCGAGCTCCGTTTCTCGGACGGTTGAGCGTGGGGGAGGAGAGCGCTCGTCTGTAGCGTGCGTGTGTGCGTGTATACGTGTGTGTATGTGCGGTGTGTTCAATGCGAGCTTTCGACGAAACCAAGTTGTGATTCACCAGCTCCTCTCTCTTTCTCTCTCTCTCTCTCCCTTTTTCACTGTACTGCGCCACTCATCTCGTTCACGTCGATCTTAGTCCGCGGCGTTACCTTTCTTCTTTCGCGAATCTCATTACGACAACGTCGTGCAATGTCGCGCAATGACGAGAGAAGTTGACGAGAGGGGACGCACTATACACGTTACCTTACCCAGAATTCGCCTTACCAACGATGCAGCGAGTGCTGGCAACACGCCGGCGACGACAGTCCCCAGGCTCTGACGTCATGCGGCATGCGGTGGTTCGTGGAGGCGTCGACGGATGGCAGCACCGCACGCAAAACGCGGCTTTACTGTGCCGCGCGCGAATCGAACGACCCATACACGACGAGTCGATCAAAGATGGCGGAAGTCTTCGAAACTCACGAAGGTGAGTGCACGTTATGACCGAGTTACCTCCGAAAAATAACGTCGGCATTGTCTCATGCGTCTTTCATGAACGGTTCGTTGTTACTTCATTATTTCTTTTACATTCTTATTATCATTGTAATTCAGGTTTTCTCCCCTGCAATTTCTCTATTCAGCTTCCTTTTCCTCTTTTCTTTTATGTATTCTTATTATTAGTGTACATTTAAGACTCTTCTCCGGCAAATTATATACTTATACCAAAAGGGTGTGATTCCCGTATAAATAAATAAATAAATAATTTACTGTCCACATTCTCGTCAGGAAAGGATCGGTCGCAGTTTAGTATTTTGAACTCCGGTAAGGTCATTAAACAGAGAGAAAGACGGAGGGGGAGGAAAGGAGAAATAAAGAGCCGGCGAGAGAGGCGAGAGCGCGTGACTTGACTTCCTCCGAAGGCGGCCGGCGCGGCGGCGGCCGCGTGTGCGTTGGAAAGTTTCAGAATTTGTTAAATGTTACCGAAACTGATTTTTTCCCGTTCTCCTTGCTGTAGGATCGCATTATAAAGGATCGCTTACGATAGTTGTAAAGTAAGCAGTAAGCTAATTAGATTCGTATATTCCAAAAATAAATCAACTGTGGCTAGTCAATTAGCTTACTGCTTACTTTACGACTATCGTAGACGGTCCTCAACAGGCCGAGATGCGACAAGTGATTCCTGTGTACACCGTAATATTTGTAAAAATGTTCCGAGCCGCTTGTTCGAAAGTTACCTTTTTTCACGGCAATTTCGACTTACTTTCACATTCACACAGCTCATACGCGGGAAAGAGATGTATGTATTACATTTGACTTGCGCACGCTCATGAAGGTTACGTTTGAAAGGCGACTTTTCAGCTAACATTGGATACGACTTCGTGACGAACTTGATGATAGATAGCTGATCTCGGTCTTGCTATGCGAAAAAAAAAATGTATATATATATCGGAGAATCAGTTCCAACGTCAATAAAGTTCAATGAATCTTAATGCATAATATGATATTTTTTCACCATTGGCTAAGGACTAAATAATTTTCCTATAAATTCCTATGTAAATTCGCTGGGCGGAGTTTTGAAATGACAGTAATTTAAATGCTATCGTTGCGATATCTGTACAATTTATGAATATTTTAAGCTGATTATTTTTGAATAATGCATTACTCTTTAGGAGAACTATCGAGGCATCTATATGCACGTGAGGATCTTGAATTAATTCGTGACTACAATGGCCTTTAATTTAAAGATCGTTGTATCCGCGGCGCTTCGTATCGTGCTTTTAGTTTGAAAGTTGTTTAAAAATGTTCAAAATAAAAGAAGACATGTGTACACCGTAATATTTGTAAAAATGTTCCGAGCCGCTTGTTCGAAAGTTACTTTTTTTTCACGGCAATTTCGACTTACTTTCACATTCACACAGCTCATACGCGGGAAAGAGATGTATGTATTACACATGACTTGTGCGCGCTCATGAAGGTTACGTTTGAAAGGCGACTCTTCAGCGGACATTGGATACGACTTCATGACGCACTTGATGCTGCACTTATTTTTGCTTTAAATATCATATTTCCTCTTTCTTTCTCTCTCTCTCTCTCTCTCTCGTATCTTTTCTTGGAAAGATTGGACAATCTGTCGATGGCTACATGATCCCGTTGTCCCTGGTTCTTGCTTTTTACTCGTGCACTGCAAAACCGGCGGGTCAACCTTGTCTGAATCTCATCAGCTGAATCACGCGTGATAAAGTAAATAAGTATATAATGCACTTTTCTCGTTTGCCACTGGGGGACAAAAAAATCCCGTTTGCCTTCTTGTTTTTTGATCGTATTTTGATCCTGTCCTTCCAAGAATGCCCGGTGATCGCACGAATTGGTATTGAACGATCGTGACGTCCGTACAGTCTCCTCCTCGTTCTTCCCGTCATCTATAAATACGTGCAACAGGGAACATTATAACGGGCAGTTCTATTGAAATGCTAGCAACCGCGCATTCGCTCAAAATGATTAGTTTAGCACACGCGTTTGTGGTATGTACCGTGATATACATCGTTCTGTTCGCGGACACGACGAACGGGCAGCACTACTCGAGCAAGTACGACACCATAGATATCGAAGCGATATTGGACACTCCTCGCTTGAGAAACCAATATGTCAACTGCATACTTAACGTATCGCCTTGCGTTACGGGGGCTGCGCGTTATTTGAAAGGTAAGATGCACACCGCTCCGCTTCTCTTTTTATTACAAATTCTACCTCGCTGAAAATACTCCGAAAACAAGCGACAGAATTGTTTCTTGTAACGACTGACACGTCTTGTTTGCAAGCTGATTTATCGTCTCGGCGCATTCGACGTATCTTCACGCTCATCCCGGAAATAACGATCAAATAATACCTTCGCGAGATAATGAACTCGATGCTGCACAGTAAAAAAACATTTTATACGGTTTCTGTCAAAATCGGCCCTCTTTGAAGTTTTCGTGTTAAATCGTTGACATGCCCGTGTGTTAATTTAACATATTATGCTTATGTTATCTCAATATTTTGCACCGTATCGATATTCAAATATGTGCAAGTGTTAAAATAACACATTTTGCACTACAGTGATACGATTAACGTATTAATTTTTAACGTGATAGAAACTTGCACAAACTCTGATTTTCTTTCTTTTAACATATCACCTCGGTTTTGTTCTCTAGAAAACTATGCGGAAGCTTTCGTCACCAGATGTAAAAAATGTACGGAAAAACAGGCAGAGTTCTTTGACAAGGTTGCAGACTGGTTTACGAAAAACGATCCTGAGACTTGGGATCGCGCAATAAAATTAGCCATTAAAGAATTACGAGACAAAAATTCATAACGACACCGGTATTAATGCATTGTCCAGCCGCGAATTACAACGATCTCTGATCTTACGTCCGAATCTCCCATGGCGAAATATACTCTTTGATAAAAAAAAATCGCAATATTCTTTGGCAAGGTTGCAAACTGGTTTACGAGAAAAAATGCAAAATCTGAGATCCGGAATCGCGCGGTAGCTGTTGAAAGAATGGGAGACAAAAGATTAATAGCACCGGTATTAACGCATTAGTTCGTATTAATAACGTATTCGGCCCTGAATTACAATGACCTAAACCTGATATTTTTATGTTTCCGAATCACCAACGGTGACATTTTCTTCGATAAAGCATACGAGATTATGCATACTGCGGAATATTCGAAATTCCCTGCAGGGTGTAGCGGCATTATATGTACATTTATTGCACACGGCGTTTCACTTTATGTGCGCATATAAGAGATCGATCTAACGATACGATATACTTACATGCATGTTAATGTAATATATATTAAAGAAGCTAACAATGCAAACATTATTCCTCCTGCTGCTTCAGAAAGTCCTCAAAAGCTGTGATGTGTATTCCATTAGGATCGAATTTTTTGACAAATACTAACCAGGTGTCTGGTTTGTATTCCTTCAAGTGAAAGGATATCTTTCTTGCCATTTGCTTCTGCGCCAGGGTGCACTTTTCACAACGTGTAGCCACTGCTTCTGGCAATACATCTACGTAAAGAAAGAAAAGAAAAGAGGAATTATATTTAAACACGCACCTCGTTTTATGTACAGAACATTTTATATCGAGGAATAAACGTTGTTTCACTTTAATGCGAATATCGATTTCCATTTTACTTCCTTCTCATATTTATCCTTCATGCCTTCCGTAACCGCAAGCGTGCTCTCTTTTTCATTTGAGAGAAATGCGACACGATTGAAATGAGAAAATATCACGACAAATGCATCCAAATAAAATATGAAAATTGCATCTGATAATAAATTTATCGAAATATTCAATTGTGCGTACTTACATTTAAGATTGCGTGCATCAGCGGTGCATGGGCCATTATCGAGAATGCACTCCAAATATTGCTTTAAAAGACGTTCGCTGCTAAGGATCGCGTCCACGTCTACGTTATCATACGTGGAAGAGTAATATTCCTTGTCCCCGGAATATTCCTCAGTCCCTGTAACGAGTCCGAACATGAGACCGAATAATAATACAAACGCGAACTTCATTTCTGCAGGACTCTCTCTGTAGAAATTTTTACCTGCAAAAATTCAACATATATCACTTTTCATAATTACTGTTTTTCTTTTCAATTATTTCTATATTAAAGACAGAGATAACGTTGATTTGGTGTTAATAAAACGCCAACACAAATAAAATAACTGAATTTCTTCACGAAACACGATTTTAAATTTTCACGGGAAAAGAAAAGGACACGATATGTAAATACAAATAAATTAAAAACATACAGCGCAGAGTATTAAAACAACAAATAATCATCAAAACGAGTTCATTTGCATAACTATATATCGGCATCACGAAAGAAATTTGTAAGAGGTAGGCAATTTTCAGAAGGAGAAATATAATAAGACAAATTCTTACCAAAGGATTCGAATTCAAATGCGACCGAGCTTCACCGGATTATTAAATCCAATGTTCCCGCAAACGAAAACGCGCGTTTCGATAAAATGATTCGCCTAAAGTCAGCGTTACAGGAACATATCGAAAGGCTTTTGTATCGAAAGGGATGAGCCTTTATCGCACGTCCCGAGATTCTATCTGATTCAGTCCGATAAGTAGAAAACAAAACGTGAAGATTTTCATATACAACTCGTCGCAATCGAATAATATTTACGTGATCTGTAATAAAACGCAACATTGAGATTTTCGTCCGCCGCATCAGATTATTCGTCTTGTCACGTAGAATTCGTTTTTCAGAGAGAAACGTGACGATCCATCATTTAGATTGTGGTCAGAGTCATAATTCGACACGCGTGTTTATGTTCATGTTTACGATTTAGCTTCGGGTCAATCGTCGTGAGTGTTAATTATGTATCTGGCTTGCTTATCTTGTTTTTCAAACAACTAATTTAGCAATTTAAATTACAAAGACAAAATATAGTAAACGGAAAAATTAAATGAGGGAAGAAAGATACGGAAATCTAATAGATACATCCTATAAGCACGTAATATTCCTAGAATATCATATGAATATTATTCAATATTGAAATAATATTCTTATAATATTCTAAGAATGTTATGTGATATTTTTTATTATTATAGAAATGTTCTATTGATGTTATATGTTCACTTCATATGATATTCCTGGTATATTATAAAAATGTTCTTAGAATATAAAAAATAATAATAATAATATAGAAAATATATATAAATTAAAAAAATGTGTATGTGTGTGTGTGTGAGTGTGTGTGTAATTATTTAGTATAAAACGTATTTTCACATAAAATTCTTTCGATTTTATTTATATAATAAAATAATCAATATTGCGATACATTTGAAATAAAAAAAACTGAAATATATATCATATATATTCATAGAGTTAAATATTTAACAAATATATAATATTACAATAACATTAAATAATATTATTAAAATATTATTAGAATATTATGTCTAATATTTTAAGAATATGCCCAGAATATTATTTAATATATAAAAAATATTACGCGCTTACAGGGCGCATCTTTACAAACGTATTTGTATTTCGCGGGGATGCACAGTTGCATGATGAAGTTGTCGCATGAAATGCACAATTCTAGAATAACAGCGATTTCACGCGCCGGCTATGCTGTGACGTTTGTGTATGTGTGCAAATGCGTGCGACTGAAATAGGATGCATATGTATGTATTTTACTGTATTTATTTTATTGTATTTCATAAGCAGGTTCCTTCTTTCAGTATCCCTTCCATGTGCGCTCGCAATGTCAGGTACAGTTCATGGTGCTACAATTCAAAGGAACGAACCTAATGATAGGTTAAAGTAGGCGTCTCCTTCCGACTATCCACAGAGCGCGGCTGCACGATGATACGGACGACAAGTTGACACTTGCAACCCACAATTTTGACAGTTTGGCTCGGATAGAAACGGTTGTCGTAGTCTTCATGCACTCTGGAAGCTGTTCGAAGGCAGGAAATTTCTCTGGTCTTTCGTGACATGTGAAACAAATATGTAGCATGATGCGAAGTACATACGAGCCAGATTTAGAAAGATGTCCACAAACTTCATCTTCTTTACATTGCAGGCAGGCCCATTTACCTACATGGCAATAGTATAGCAAATTGCTGATTCTACGGTATATAGTTGAGGGCAAACAATTCAAGTTGCTTGAATTGTAACATAAAAATCAGCTTGCTGTTTACTGTCAGTGATACCAGTGCAATAATTATAGTTATAATTGCTTTTACTTATCATTTGCACAAGAAGTAATCGGTACCGTACTATATAAAGATGGAATTGGCGAAGGAAATCATCAATGGTGTGGCAGATATTCAAAACAGCAACAGTTTGTCCGAAGAAACATTTCTACAATTACTAGAAATTGTAGTATCTTGCATCTGTAGGAATATTAACGATGCCAAAAGTAAATAGCGTTAATTTATCTCTGTAGAACATACAAAGTAACTCCAAATGCAATTCTTTATAATTGTATGTATCTTTTGTTATGCCAGGTATCGCTACTATATGTCCATCTAAGTCAGATCTGGTAAAGACCGCTATTGCGAATATCTCGTGTCTCTTCACAGAGGCTGCCAGGCATGATTACGACGAGGAAAGCTTGAAGACTTTTCTGCATAACGAACACATCAGTGGGCAAAGAATTGAAAAGTTATGTAACATTTATATAAACAACAAGCAAGACATTCAGACCCAGCTGGAATTGACAGGTAACAGCATCCCACATATAGTGGACATAGACTGGCGTCTACATCATTGTGTGAAGGTAAGACGTTTATCCTTTAAACAAAGTTGATACTTTATATAGAACAGCTTGAAAGCGGTCGTAATATAAGAATATCGTTTCACATAAGTTACATTATAAACCAAGTTTTTTTCTTGGGTACAGTTTAGCACTTGTCGCTCCACCAGCGTGCCACTTTATAACATACAGATGACTACGAAGAAATGTAATGAAGTAAAACATGTAACGTTTACGTGTACTGTACAACAATTACAAGAGCTGGTGTATAAGCTGAAGGATATTGTAAGACATATTGAAAAAATGTCTAATATGTAAAAGTGAAATGGGTAATTATAACTTACAGTGTAGAAATATGTAACATTCTCTCGTCGATTTGCTCGAAGTATATATTAATAATATACATATATATATATGAAGGATAGTGTGTGTGTGTGTGTGTGTTTTGTATCAATAATACACATTTTATACAGGTGCAGTCAATTATATTTTTGCATCATTAATGAAAAGAATATCTCCTAATCCATTTAGAATTATTATTGTATTACTTTTATGTGTTTATACATGTATATGCGTGCATACACATATATAAAACTGATTAAAAATACAGTGTATCTTCCGTTCTGCAGCCCAATATTTGTCTAAAAATTTCTATTTTTGTTAGACGAAAAAAATACTATATCATTATGCCCTTACTAATTAAATATAGATTTATATTAGTAATTAATAATTTTTTTTCTATTTCTAAATAATATATATATATTTTTTTAACCATAATACATTATGTACAAATAAAGTGGGGGAGCATATTTTCTACGTAAGAGAAACTTATCTCCGAATGTTAAAATTTCTTAGCAAAACTTTTCATTTCCCTTCGTTCATACCTTTTCCAATCATCATCTTTGTTTTTTCTCTCATCAATATCCATATTTGTGTAAACGCACAACAAAATGCAACATATGCGTTATTAGGAATAAAGATACATGGGTTATATAATTAGAGTGGATTGAGGAAGAAAATAGCGGGATGCTCTGAAAAGCGGAGTATAAGAATAAGAAAGGGGAAGGGGCCGGGGGAAGAAAGGAAAGAAAGAAAAGGCAGGGGAGGGAGAGAAACGTTACAATTTACGACTAATAATTTATGAGCACAATTTTGCTTCGTTAAAATATTTGTTCCACGTAAGACGAAATAACGTAACGATCACAGTATTTAATCGTTAACTAATATTATTTTTGACGTAATTATTATATCTTTTGTTATTTTTATTGTTCCATATCAATTACTCGATATACGATACGATAAGGCCTCGGACATTTCACTACCATTAGCAGTCTTCGAATATTTTCAAAATCACCCTCAGAACTGTGAATTTTCGCTCTGATCTTGAATTGGTCTATAAGAAAGCTAGGGCTTCAATCATAAAGAAAGAAGTGAAGTGATTAAATAATAATTATGAGTTAGAGCAATCGATAATCCTCGCATTTGTATCGGATGACGTATAGTTTTACAATTGCACATATTATTCTCATGTTCACAAAGACAATTTTTTTTTTTCAACATTTTGGTGTCTTATCACGACTTTTGGTTTTCCGAAATTAAGTTCCCTTTAACTTTCTCCTAACATTCGAGATAATACCTTATTAATTAGTGCACGAATTGACATTTACAAACTGCTTCCTTTCTATGTGTTATGCTAAATTATATTATGCAAAAAAGAGAAAGTATATATTTTTTTTAGTTCTAAAGAAATATTAACGTGTGAAAATATTACACGCTGCAAAATAATTTTGTTTCCCGGCTGCATCGATGCACCGTATAAAAAGACAAGTTTCGTATAATATTCTTTTTTTCTTTTTTAATATAACGGGTTATTCAAAAATATTCAATACTGCGGACTATATAAATTTCATATCAACCTTATATGATATAAAAATGTATATAGTTTAGGTTTTAGATAACATTATGTTGTTAGGGGCTCACAAAGATTCATCGGCTTTTAGCCCCGTATTTTTTTTTTATTAAAAAAAAGCGTCGAGCATGGCATGTACGTGCTATGTTCTTTGAACCAAAGTACTTGCCATTGTTATCCACCACCTTTCAGGCAAAATTGTCTGATTCTGCGTCTGTAAGATAATTATTTCTCTTGAACCAATGAAATCATCAGCGACCCGACGAATTTTCGCAAGCCCCTGATAATTCAATTAATTCATTATATCTAACACTTTTTTCACACATATATGCATGTGCACATTATCGCGAGTGTCTTCATCTGCCACATGACCTAATTGCGCATGTGTGTGTGTGTGTGTGTGTGTGTGTGTGTGCGTGTTCGCGCGCGCGCATTTCATAATTCATGTGTATTTCTCTCCATATATAGTTTTTATGTTATTCACAAAAAAAAAAATAAAATAAAGAAAGATCTTTGTGATTGATACTTTTTAGTTGCTTAACACCTAACGAATAACTCGCGTTCATTTAACATGCGGGGCCGCATGTTATTAATAGTATGTTATCGGGAAGATGAATGTTATACGTTGTGATATCAACAAATCAACAGCAGGTATACGCACTGAGAGAGAAATCATATAGTTGTCGATATGACATACATGACTCCGAACAATCGTCGTTCAATCGTTCAAGCGGTGAATTCATTTACCAAGATGACTTCAACGAAAGTTACACTCATGTTTGACAAAAAAATCATGATTTTTGAGACGGTTCGAGATAATTTGGAAGAGTTCGTCGACGCTTCTCGTGTGAAGAAAAAAAGTTTCCGCTTCGACACTATAATGCATAATATACGTATACGTGTGTAACGAAATGAGATAAATATGATATAGAAAGAAAGAGAGAGAGAGAGAGAGAGAGAGAGAGAGAGAGAGAGAGAGAGAGAGAGAGAGANCCCTACTTGAAACGTATCATTATTTTTCCGTCACATATTCTCCGTGGAATTCCCGAAACGGTTTTCCAATTAGATACAACTGAAGTGCAAACTACAATTGTCACGCTTCCTTTTTCATTTAAATGCCTGCGTGCCTCGATGATAAAGCGTATTTATATTTATATTCTGCGACTTAAGTGCCGTGATATATCTGATATATCTGATCGCGTTGTTTCGTGAACTTGGCGTTGCGACGTTACGACGTTGCCGCTTCTCGTTTGAGCTTCGTGGCTATTGCATCCTCGCGGAGGGATCGATTTGAAATTTACCATAAAATATATGACCGAAAGGGTATACGATAGAAGTGGGATATGCCGTGTATCAGCGCCGAGCTTGGATGCATTCCCGACCAGACGAGCCACGGTATATAATCGTGAATATGTATAACGTATTTATATAAATTTGCGTCGGTTGGTGTATCCCGTCGTGTGTCAACGACGGGATCTTTGCTCGTCGCACTCGCGAATGCATTTTCATCACGCTCGACACCGCCGTGTACGTATACATACCTACATACGCACATATGCGTATTGCGCGTGTAACAACGTGGATAGGGGAAGGGGGGGGGAGGGGAGAGGCTCGTTTAATGGTCGTATCAGTGTTGGATATGCGCAATATGGAAAAATCTGACGGCCTCCTCGTAATTATCGTCAACGTACGCTCATAAAATAACGTGCTCAACATAATGATATAATAACTCATTTATAATAGAAAATAATTAGATCTATCGCGATTGCTATGTATTTACAGAAATATACAGATTTCTAACACGCAACATCCTCAACAACGGCCATAAACTGCCTTACTCTTGCGTTCTTTAACGACGTCCGTGTAACGAGAATCTATCCGATCATCTTTTGTGTGTGTGTGTGTGTGTGTGTGTGTGTGTGTGTGTGTGTCTGATTTTCTCGCGTGTCTTCTGACATTTTCTGCGCTACGCGCGGATAACATGGGCGCGCTTCTCGAATGTACAATACAGGTACGTGCATGTGGAATATTATGCGCGTCGGTCATCACGGTGGAAACGGCGTTAGAATTATTGGCAGTAAATATCAGAACGCGGGCCGTGGGCAGCCTGACTGCCGATTTTGCTTCCTCTCGAGCGAGCTGTCATTGACTATGTTTGCACGGCATGCTAAAATCTAATCAGCAACGCCCGTAATTTCCGCTAGCGCGAACAACGTGAAGCCGATGTGATAAGTCTTCGATATTCTATCGGTGTCACAAATCATCACGGTATACCCAACCATAGCCAAACCTGCAAAAGCAAATTGCACAGCAGACTGTGTAAGCAGCTTGCTGGCAGAAATACAACAGGATCTAACGGCAGAAATCGAGCGGGTTCCGTCGTTCCGATCTAAATGAAACATATCGCAGATCCTGCTCGCTTTCTGCCGCTAATCTGCTGTCGAGCAATCTGTCATTAGACTCTGCCGAGGGGACAACAGCAGATTGCACACAGATATGACAATGCATTTGTCGCCAATCTGTCGTCAGACAGCTAGCAGATTGTTTACTGGGTAGTTACAACGTAATCGTTTATATACGTAACGTCGATGGTCGCACCAGCAGAAACTACTGAACCGGTTCCGTACTGTTCACGTAAATGTGGAATACGAAACTTACTAAATCGGTTTTAGGTGCCGTGTAAACGTGGCCATTGTGTGTCCGGTTAAATGCAGTTTCCGCCGAATGGGCGGGAGAAAGAGAAAGATAGAGGGGAAAGAGAGGGGAAAGAGAGAGAAAAGAGAAAGTGAGTGAAAGAGTGAGTGAGTGTGTACGAGTGAGAGTAATAAAATCCCGCGACTTTCATTTATCTACGGACGATTCGCGATTACGTCTCCGCCTTGTTTCTTTGCACCTCAGACTTTTTGCCCTGTATCTGTTCGCCGGTCTTGCCGAGGTCCTCGGCCTTGGAGTCGTTCGCCGATGAGTCGTTGACGGCAGTCGGAGCGTTGTTCCTCTGAATACTATTTCGTTCGCGAGGCGAGGAGCGTTCCACTTGGCCCTCTCGTTCGGTCGTTTCTTGCGTCGGCGTCGGCGGCTTCGTCGTCGTCGTTGTCGTCGTCGTCTGCTCGTTATTGTACTCCTTGGACTTCTTGCTTCCGAAGTGTTCGGTCGTGACGTCGCCGTTGACTTTGGTCGTTTGGTTCTTCTCCTTCTTGTCGGTCGGGCTCGAACCATCGGCGATCTTCGGCTTGGAAGCTTGCCCGCCCTCTTGCGCCTTCTGCGCGTCCGTGTCCTTGCTCCCCTGCTTCCTTTCGCCGGCGCACGGCGAGCTGGAGTTCTCGGACACCTCGAGGTTCGCGGCCGCAGGATTAAGCGACACTGAGGAGCCGGAGTTCTGCTTGGAGGTCTGCGGCTCGTGATGAGCGCCGTCGCTCGTGTCCGCCGTCTTCGCGATGTTGGAGGTGACGCCGGCCAGACTGCCGCCGGTTTTCGACAGGTTGAACGCGTTGAGCTCCCGTTGATGCGACACGGACACAGGTATGTTCACCGGCATCGGCACCGGCACCGGCACGGGCACGCTCTTCGACAGGAGCAACGCGACGCTGTTCACCGTCGACGTGATCGGCTCCGTCTTGCCGAGGTTGAACGACGAGATCGAGCCGGGCGAGGAGGCCTTGGGCGACTTCGGCGACGACGAGTGGGTGCTAGGCGGTATTCTTTGGACCGCCGGCGGCTGGCCGACCACCGGCGAGTAGCCGGTGGTCTGCGGTATGTAACTCGATCGCTGATACAGCTTGTTGATCGAGGGCGGTAGACTACTGTGGAAGGCACTGGGAGGCGGGATACCGATGGGCGACCGTATCAGAGGGTTCGGGAACCGGCTGGCATCTGGAAAAGGCGGGGGAAAATGAGAATATATGATTCGGGGGTTCGTGTTGGGCGTGGGAGACGGTATGAACGGATTGGTCGACAGCATGTTCACCGGCGAGTTCCTCGACGACAAGGGCGAGCCGGTGCTGCGGCAGATGTCCCGCGGGAACGGGGTGTTCTGGTAACTCCGGGCGTTCGGCGAATAAGGCGGCGGCGAGACGATCGGCGAGTTTGCCGTGGAGACGATCGGCGACAAGGTCTTGGGGTCGATCTTCATCATGTTGAGAGTGGCGCCCTTAACCGCGTTCGCCGCCGACTGCTCCTTCTCCTTCGTGTCGTTCGCGACCCCGTACATCGGCTTCACGCCCGACGCGGGATTGCCCAGGTAGCGCGGCATGTTCCTCATCTTGAAGATCTTGGCCGGCTTCGAGGGGATCTGCTTGCTCGTGCCCTCGGACGCGGCGGTCTGCGTCTGATTCTGCATCTCCTTCGCCTGGTTCTTCACCGCCACGTAGTTGTTCTTCGACAGCGTCGGGTTCCAGGACTTGGGCGGGTCGCGCAGCGTCTTGTAGCCGATCGGCTGGCTCTGCTTCTTGAGGACCGATATCCTCTGGCTCGCGTGGGAGGACGCCGGCGGCGTCGACACCGCCAATGCGGCGGCCGTCGACGTCGGCAAGGCGACCTTCGGCCCCTTCGCCTCCACCGTCGTCGCGTTGCTACTGGGCGTGTAGACCGGCACGTTGGGGATGTTCGGTATGTGCTTGACGCTCGTGTCCGACGGTGAGGGGCTCTTCTTCGCTATCTTAAGCAGGTCCGGTATGTCCGACTTGCTGCGCGCCTCCACCCTGTTCTTCTCCTTCGAGTTCTCGCCGATCTTCGCGCAGATGTCGTTGATCTTCGAGCCCGTCGTGTTCGAGCCGATCTTGGCGCAGATCTCGTTCAGGTTGCTGCCCTTGGCGGTCGCCTCCTGCTTGCGCAGCGACGGCTTCAACAGGGATATGGGGATCGCGTCCGGGCAGGGAGTCGAGGTCGGCCCCGACGACGATTTCAGCGTTGCCGTCGACGTGACCGTCACAGTGGCTGCGGCTGGACTCGCGTTGCCGCAGTTGTTCTTCAAGGACGTGGGTATGGAGTATATGCTCATCGACGGCGTCTGCATGCTGAACTGATGCATAGGAGACATTTGACTGTTGGCGGACGTCGAGCAGGCCACCGGCGACGCCGTCAGTGAATTCGGGAGCGCGCTGTTGGGATTTTTCAGGGTCGCTTTCAGGCTGGCGTTGGTCACCAGATCGTGGACCGTGTACGGGAACGTCGCCTGGCTCATGGACGTGGACGTCGGGATGTTCGGCACGGGGCTTTCGTTCGGCGTGACCACTGTGTTGCTACTTCGCGCGCTTTGCTGTAATCTCTGGCCGCCCGCGGCGCTCGCGTGGCTCGTCGTCTTCGAGACTGCTTCCGCTTGAGTCGGTGTCGGCGAGTTTCTCTTCTGCTCCAGCAGATTCAAGGCCTGCTGTACGTCGATGCCCGAGTTCTGATTATCCTTCTCGTGGGGAACCTCCGGTTTGCTAGGCACGGCCGAGGCGTCCACCGTTGTCGAAGTAGTCGTCTGAGGCGCCGTGGCGGTCGACACGACCGGCTTCTGCGGAGAGGTCGCCGTGGGACACGGTGCCGACATTTTCGCTACCGCGCTCTGCCCGCAATTCGCTCGCGTTTTCGTGTCGGCGGCCTTGGCCGCAACCTCCGTCGGCGACTTCGCGTCCGACTTCTTGGCGCTCTGAAAAATCGCCCGCTTCTCCTTCGGTGCTTTCTTCGAGTAAGTGTTGTTGACCTGACCCATCTTCGGCTGGAACTGCAACTTTGCGCTCAACGCGTCGATCTTGGATCCCACGTTCCCCACTTTCAACTCGCTCTTCATGCATTCCTTCTGAGCCTCGCTCCTCGAGTCCGTGCTGTTGTTGTTGTTGTTGTTGTTGTTGTTGATCGTCAGCCTCTTCGCTCGCGTATCCATCCCCGACGTATTCTCGACGAGGGGTGTGGGCGCGCTCTCTTCCGTACACTGCGTTATCGTTTGACCGGCGGCTTTCTGCCCCTGCGAGATTGCTTTGTCCTCGATTGCGTTGTTAGTCTGATCGTGAACTTTCGCCTCCGCGTCTTGCTGCGAGTTCACCGGGGCGGTATGATTCGCTGTTTCACTGGCCTGCCTCGTCGTCGTGTTTCCACCGTGCTGAGGGGGTAGCGATGTGCAGTTCTTGGTCGGCGAATTGTCGTCCGTGGACGTCTTGACGTCGCTCGTTGCGAGAGGCGCGCTGCTCGAGTCGGACAGAGTCGCGTTCTTCATCATTAGCGCGTCGATAACCACAATAGGTTGCATCGTCTCTAAACAGGCATTCGGCACACTGCAATTTTCCACCAATGAATCCGCCTTGTTCACCGTTGCGATGGTAGTGACGGTCTCGTCCGAGATCTTCGGATCTTCCGGATTCTCCGTCTCCGCCTCTCTCTTGAGCACCGTATTCGATATATCGGTTATGCTCATCACGCCTGTCTCCGATATTTTCAACTGCACTTCCTTCCACTCGCGTTTCAACGACTTCTCGTCTTTCATCTCGTCGGAGTGAATGCCGGCGTTCGTCAGCGATTTCTTGTAGCTGGCATTGTCTTCCGACAATTTGATGCGTTTCGAGGACGACTCGAATATCCTGTAGCTTAGGTGTAATGGAACTTTCTGGAATGCAAGAGGTATGTCATTAATAACGCGAAGCTTCTTGTTTCGACTCTATATTTTTTACTTTATACTCGCATAAAAAAAGTTGAAGTAAAAATGTTCACACATGGTTTGCCGCACACGTAGCGGATTGCTAAATTAAATAGACACGTACCCGCCTCCAATGATAGATGTACATCACGTCCATTAAAGTATAACTACTGCACAAGGGCTCCTCTTTGTACATTATATCAACTCGGTGTGCATCGCTAAGGCCATATTTGGCTCTTATTAATTTTTGTAAATGAAATACTGTCACTGCTGCAGGACATCGCAAATATCGCTTCAAATGCGGCTTTTGAGTCGCGTCCTTAACGGCATTCGTTTCATCTAAATCTTCCGTGTGAGGATTAAAGTACTCCAAGGACAGACTGAGAGATTCATCCGGAGAATATATGTGCGATTCTGTTGGTTCTCCACGTGCTTCCGGAGACGTTACTTGATCACGTATACCTGGATGCTTCGCGTAAAATTCTCTCCGACATCGCATTTCGTCTGAAAAGGGATGGCGGCTGTTAGTATGAGGAAAGATGGATTTTCCATCTTGTTAATTTCAAACGAAAAAACAGACTTTGGTAACATCCAGGTACGAGTTTATATACAATATCTTGTAAGGTATAGTCAGGACGTATATTTAATAATGGCCTGCTTTTATGAACCTGTACCTCACAGATTGGACAATACTTGTTATTTTCCAAATATTTGACAATGCAGCTCCTACAAACTGTAAGAAGACACGCAACATATTATTATAATGTTATGCCAAAGTATTAGTTATGTCTTAACGTGTACATTATAAAAACATATCGTACATGAGTGTAAACATTCTATAATAGTAGTGGCGTCGATAAAATAACCACCACACAGTCTACATGTCAATTGTTCATTAAGCTTGGGTAAACACACTCGATGTCCACCGCTCTGTCCTGACATCCTACAACAGAACGTATCAATTGATATAACTTAACATACAGTTATCTTTTACACGATTTACTGCAAATAATATAATTTAGCTTAATTTTAAAACACCCATTAGAATACATTCATAGGAAGACAATGTTAATAATTCGAAATTATTGAAACTATCACAGATATGTAAATCTAACTTATTAGATATAAAGATACAACAAAATTTTTTCTTATTAAACCAGAGAAAATAGATAATTTTGTTTATTTTAATTGTATCGTGTGAAATGTGATAAAATATAACCAATATCCGACTCACACTATTAGTTTGAATAAACTAAATGACAATATGACAGCTGCTATATGCAAGTACAACAATAATTGATCAGGACAAACATGAAACAATTATAATATGTGTATAAGTACACACACGTGTACATATACACATGTACACATACTTGTAATTTAATAAGATTAACAGATTTAATTATGACATAATTTTTCTACCGCCAAGTTTTTAAGGGAGGGGAATCGGATATCGGATAACGGTGCAGATGAAAATTGAGGGAACATTAATAGGACTACGTAAGGTAATGCGTCGGTCTGAAACATTTTCAGTGTTCGATAAGTGTTATGTGAAAATGTGAATTATCCGGCGCTGTTATACACGTACATACGGCAAACGCCTCGGACAGACTTACGTGACAAACCAAGCGAAAATCGTCCGTTTTATTTGGTAATCGCCATTTGGCCTCAAAAGTCAGGAAAGTTGGGTCACATGTAACTTGTCACGGATTGCCATCACGATACTACTCTGATAAGTCGTTTTTCACATTCTTCGTGCGACGCTACCTCCGTAAATAGATAAAAGTTTAATGAAGTGGTAATGCCGCCTGATTTAATTCGCCTCAATGACTTAAATTCATCTTAAAATAGTGCACCGTACTACTGAAAACTGCGCGTACGGCAGTAAAACAAAATGGCGGATAAACAATCATGCGTGGGATCATTTCTGAAAACATTGCGCATATTCCACTGAATTCTAAAGCCAATTTCGCAAAAGTTTCGCCATCGTTTCGCTATTTCGTATATATTTTTAGATCTAAAAGAATATGCCAATCAGATCTAAGCGTCCAATGAGCGGTTGTAGTAGCTATGTTCGGTTTTGTAAATCGGAGATATAGGTTTGTTTTTAAGATTATCTTAAGATAATACCTAGCCAATGAGACAACTTTGCGTTTTTTGTTGGAAAACAACCAGAGTAAACCGATGTGTCCGATTTGCAGAAACGAAAATACAGCTAGTATTGAATGCACAAAATGCAATGTTTGAATAATACGAATAATTTTTATATATGTCTAATTTATAAATTATAGAATATTTAATAATAGTTCATTAACATGCAGCATATCTCATGATACGGCATTCGACATTCAATTTGCTAGAGACAAACATGTGACTATTCCTAACTGGTGTCTAGAGAAAGCAAATTCTATTGGATATTGGAAAATCATGAATCGGAATACTGCCGATGACCCAACGAGAGAATTTATTTCTCGAGAACGAATTCTTGAGTTCTTTCAGACTTGAATCCTGACTCGACGAGTCTGTTGGGTGCGTCGATTGGCTGTTGGATAGGTAATTTCTAAGGTGCTCGGAACAAGTGTTATAATCATATTATACTACGGATTAGGATTGAGATTGGATTGAATTTAACCAATTAGAGCAAAGTTCACTAAACTCAAGTTTAGTGAATCTTGCTACGATTGGCCAAATTTCAATTCAATCTCAATTCAGCCATAGACTGAACGGGCTTTAGGGACCCTTGAAATGTTCTATTAGATAACCAATCGTATGATAAATGAGATATTAGTCTATCTCTGTTCTTATATCTATGGAAAGAGTCATAAATTCGATTTTTACACGTCTCCATCTTAAAATGAATATTTGTCCCATGTAACGTTGATATATGAGTAAGTCTTCTTATATATATACATAAGACATGATGAAAAAGCAATTATTTTACTATATACTTGTGCGAAAAATTTTAATAACGTATATACGAGTTATATATGTAAATTTTAATTCATAGATTCTTGTGCATGTATTATACAAGTATTATTTTACGATAAATTGTCTTTGTACTTTTCATCTTTATAATTTACGTCGAGAAATGAAGTGACTTTTATTTAATGCATCTTTATAGTTTTTATGCATATGTAAAATTCTAAATTAATTTAAAAAGATTCAGAACGAAGATTTAGATTAGAATTTCTATCAGTTTTTCAGAGTTTGCAAACATATTCTGATTTCAAAACTAGATAATTGTGATAAATATGAGAGAAAGAGAATACAGAAACAATATTTAACTGATGTAGGGATCTGATAATAGGGATCTTGATATTTTGATTGTGGTAAATCTGTTTATATTACATTAATATTATATTGAAAGATTAAATAGTTTGCAAGATTTCTTCATATTTTAATTATTGAAACGATAATCTATCAGTGATAACTTATGTATATTAGAACTATTTTGTTAGTTTTGAAATATAGAATACATCTGCAGATTTGATGATAGGTCTAAAGACTCATCTTATATATTAAAGTATTGCAATTTATATGTTTTTATTATACGATTTATAAATAATTTTATTTATATTATAAATTGTTATGTGTATTATATTATTTTACCACAATANTATTACACAAAATGGATAAAACACAAGAAACTGCTGATGAGAAATCATGTATGATTAAAGAAAAGAACAATGAACTTTCCATCAGAGATAGGTAACATATAAATAATATTTTGAATAATATAAAAATGTGTGTATATATGTATAATTTAAAGAATATAAGTATGGTGCGTTTACTTTTATGTATTATTTTTTATTTATTTTATATTTGTACAGCACTTAAAAATTTTCAATTTTTTGCAGTAATTGTCTTCAACCTATCACTAGGTCAAATTCAAGGGAAAAAATAACAAACTTGGATGTAATACCACAAGTAAGCTATATTATAGTTATTATTGCCAATGTATTTTTTGTCACAGATATTTGTATTTAAATATTATTTGCTAATTATGATAAGCATTAAATAAATTGCTGATTGTAAACCGTGATATTTTATAAATTACATGTATTTCAGGTCATTGCAAGTTGCATAATCCATTGCGTAGTCATACAAGTTGGTGTCAACATGGCTTATAGTACAGTTTTGCTAAACGATCTGAAGTTAGATAATGCTGGAATGACAATAACAGAAAATGAAGAGTCTTGGATAGGTCAGTTTTACAACAAGATCTAGATATTTTTGAGCTTGCATTGAGCACAGTATGGATGTGTTACTTAATAGAATAATTATTGCAGTAAAGTTTCATTGCAGCTTGCAAATATTTATGTGCACCAATACAAACTTCCAGTATGTTTTCTTAACATGCACATGTTTAAATAATTGATTTTAATCAAGCAGTGCACATGAATTTAAATTAAAAGCCGCTAAATATTCTATTAAAACCTGTTATTCAATTGCATAAATATGAATTGAGCCTTGTATTAATGCACACATACGAGTTTCGTTATGATTTTCACGGCTGCGATAAAATTTTTGATTTTATTTATCAATAACGTTATTTATTTGTTATTTTGCACTTTTTGTTACATAGCAAGTCTAGTTACAATAACACTGCCAATAGGATCCATTATTGCGGGCCCTTTAATGGATAAATTCGGACGCAAAGTGGTTTGTTCTTTCTCTTGTGTTCCTGCAATAATATCATGGATTTTATTTATATTTGCCAAATCTGTTATTACTATTTATGCGGCCCGGTTTATAGCCGGAATTGCAGCGGGCCTAAGTACCGTCGGTGTAATTTATGTATCAGAACTCTCTCATCCACAAATCAGGCCGATGCTTCTGTGCCTTAATTCCGTATTTGTTTCGTTGGGTATATTGATAACCTGTTGTCTAGCTATATCGCTAGACTGGCACAAGATGGCTATAGTTTTCCTCGCGTTAGAGTGTTGCATATTTTTTGCACTTTTTTTTCTACCCGAAAGTCCTTACTGGCTCGCATGCTTTGGAAATGGCATGTTGGACGAAAAACGGACTCGCGAAATGAAGCGCAGTCTGAAGCGACTTAACAGAACAGAAACGGTAAGTACGATAAAGCGCCTTGCGATTGCATCTATGCCAGAATAACTCAAACACGGACAAACATTTTCTAGATTTATGAACAGGAGTACTCGCGAATTATGGAGATAGCCAGAAACCGCGTTGCGTTGCGTCATAATGAAACATCGGACACTGTGGTTGCATCCATAAAAAATTATTATCACAAATTCAAGTCTCCGAGCGCTTACAAGCCTATAACGATACTTTTTGTACTTTTTTTGCTGCAACAACTTTCCGGTTGTTATGTCGTTATATTTTACGCCATGTCTGTCTTTGACGAAATGAGTGGAATACTTCGCAAGAGTTTCAACGAAAACAGTGCGTTCGTTATGTTAGGTATCGTTAGATTTGTCGTAAGTATACTAACATCTTTTTCCAGTAGAAAATATGGTAGAAGGGTTATCTGCATTCTGAGTGGAATTGGAATGTCTGTTTCCATGTTTCTTTCTGGAATATACATGCATTTTACGGTATCGTCCGACAAAAACGGAAATGAACAAGAGATCATGGTAGATTATAAATGGCTGTTACTTGTATTTGTATTATCATACATTTGCTTTAGTACATTTGGATTCACAACTATACCATGGACACAAATCGGTGAATTGATTCCTGTGTCCATACGTGGTATTGGTGGAGGTTTCATGGTTTCTGTCGCTTATATAATGATGTTTGCCGTTATCAAGAGTTATCCATATATTTTGAAAAGTATAGGTATAGGGAATATATTTTTTTTATTTAGTTTTACTTCCTTATTAAGTATAATTTATGTATATTTCTTTGTGCCGGAAACATTAAACAAATCTTTTTCTGATATAGAGAAAATGTTCACCTCTAATAAGGAAGAGAAACCATGTGATGTTCATCCCACATAAATTGTTAATTTCACTGGGTATATTTTATAATATATATTTTTTTTTATATTTTACATACAAATAATCTATATTCGTGATGTTAATAATTGGTGGCAGAAATTAGAGAAAAGTTTGGTCCAGACTATTGTAATGTGTGAATTTATATTTGTGTATTAAATATTTTAATGTTCCAAGTAATAAATCTCTGTATAATAAAATGAAAAATGTACTACAAAAATTTATGTTGTATAATTGGCGCACCAAATTTATGATTAAATCACAGTATTTGTTTTTCAACCTGTATTTTTAGTCTAAATTATAATATAAATGCAGTACATACAGATGTAACATTTTTGTAGAAACGTTTATCCTACAAAATGTAAGAAGTGCTAGCTTTATACTTAGATGATGTAAACTCAATTTCTTTATAATACAAGAAGCTATTCGCAGTTGATTTATTTTGTTCTCGTGCTTTTCCCACCTGCGTAAATATTAGATTTATGAAGGAAAGGAGAGAAAAAAATACATGATTCTGTAAAAAAAATGTACAACCTGTTCTACAGCAATTCTAACGTAGGCACTGTACTTGATTTTTAACCTTTTATCTGTAGTTTTTTTAATCTTTATAGCGGATCTAAGTGTATTGGCCTGGCACATTGTAAATATCGCGGCATATGTGTCGTTTCTATCGCGTTAATACAATGTCTTCGAATATACGAAGCGTGTATCGGTGATCTACTTTCAAGGTAAATTCCAATTCTTGTTGCAGATATGCACGTGATTTGAAGGACATAGTCCACCCGTATCTGCATATGCACCTGGCACTTCCGACAAGCATTGCTCTGCCATAACCTAACTGTATATAACAGCGATAATAACCACAGTAACAATCATTTCAATTATCTGATGACTTTCATCAGTTAATAGCAATGATATATTCCTGAAAGATGATGCTTGCCCGTCGCAAATGCCTATTGAAATTGTCATTTTGCACGTTATATATAATCTGCATTTTGCTCATTGCCAAGCAAGTATTTCGTGCTAATGACAATTCCAACGCTTACAAGGATCAGTTTCCGTTCCCACGAGATGGCAATAATTCTCAGAGGCAGAAAGATGTGGATGTTACATTGCAAAGGCTACAAAAAGAAAGGTAAACTTATTTACTCTTATTCTCTCATTAGCTCTGTTTCACTGTTTCCACTTGCATTTTCTGGTTTAATTACATTTTGCATTTTTTTTCTTTAAGGCTAAAATAACATTTCAGGTATGAGCAGTGGATATTAAAATTGGAGTCTGATGTTGTAGTTGGACTTGGGGAGAATGGAGAACCAGCTTATCTACATGGGAAAGAAAAGATTGAGGGTGAAGCAGTACTTGCAAAGAAAGCACTGAATGTTGTTCTGTCAAATAAGATATCATTAACTAGAAAATTACCAGATGTACGCAACCAACTGTAAGAATTTATACTTCATATTGTGAGGCGCAAGAGATTATTTTCAAAAGAGATCTTCATGCATGCAGATATATGACACTGGAGTATTTTTTTTTGCTTTGTGTTTATGAATACATGTGAACTTTACATATTATAGGTGTGCAAATCTCACATATGACACGTTATTACCAAGTGTTAGTGTGATAATTATCTTTTATAATGAACCATGGAGTGTTTTGTTACGTACAGTACATAGTGTGTTGAAAGGTTCTCTGCCACATTTGTTAAAAGAAATTATTTTAGTTGATGATCATAGCGAGGAAGGTATTGATCAAATCAATATGAATATGTAAATTGCAAAGTCGTACTGCTTAAACATATATCTATTTTGGCTTGGTTGTAACAATGTATCAAATAATTTAATATCTTTTGCAAAGTATGTTTTGTATCTATATACTCTATTAATTTGTGCGTAGAGGAGCTTCAAGAACAACTCGATTATTACCTGTCGACGCGTTTACCTACTAAAGTCAAATTGTTGAGGTTGCCATCTAGACAAGGATTGATACGTGCTCGTCTTCATGGAGCTAGAAATGCTACAGGCGATGTTCTGGTTTTCTTGGACGCACATTGCGAAGTTATCAAAGACTGGTATTTGAAACTGGTATCAATTTGGCTAGAAAATGTATTCTTTCCTTCATATCTGATTTGCTATATCTTAAATGTTAAATCGATTTTACACAGAGAGCTTCATTAGTGCGTACGTTTTATGTTACAGGCTGCAGCCTCTGCTCCAGCGAATAAAGGACAAGAAAAATGCTGTATTAATGCCAATAATTGATAACATCTCTGAAGAAACGTTAGAATACTTCCACGATAACGAAGCGTCTTTCTTTCAAGTTGGTGGCTTCACATGGTCAGGTCATTTTACATGGATAAACATCCAAAAACACGAGCTCCAGTCACGTCGTTCCCCTATATCGCCAACTAGGTCCCCTACTATGGCAGGAGGCTTATTCGCTATTGACAAGAAGTATTTCTGGGAGATCGGCAGTTACGACGATAAAATGGATGGCTGGGGAGGCGAAAATTTGGAAATGTCTTTCAGGGTAAGTCAGATTCTGTTTCAAATATGAAATTAAACCCATCGAACTTGTAATCAAAAAAGTGCACACAAGGTATCTGTTATCTATCGATTCAGTGAAATTTCATATTTCCAACGAATTGTTACCCTTCAACAGATTTGGCAATGTGGCGGCACATTAGAGATCATTCCTTGTTCTCGAGTTGGCCATATATTTCGAAACTTTCATCCATATAAATTTCCGAACGACAAAGATACACATGGGATAAATACTGCCCGTTTAGCCTTTGTGTGGATGGATGAATACAAGAGATTATTTTTACTCCATCGCAGTGAGTTCAAGGTAAGATCGGGGAAATGATCGGAAGTATCAGCAATGCATCCGATACAAATAAGTAAAATTCGCAGAATAATCCGAGCCTCTTTGGGGATATAAGTGAACGTGTGAAATTGCGTCGAAAGCTCAAGTGCAAAAGCTTCAGGTGGTATCTCGATAATATTTATCCGGAAAAATTCATTCCTGATGAACATTCCATGGCGTATGGTCGCATCAGATTGCGCAATAGACGGCTGTGCTTAGACAATCTACAACATGACGAGGATAAACCGTACAATTTAGGTTTATACAGTTGTCATTCCAAGTTATATCCAAGCCAGGTTCGTATGACGATGCGGATTACATTAACGCGGATATATCATCAAGGACAAATTCACTAAAGGTTACACATGCTTTGTGCGATTTAGTTTTTCTCATTGAGCAATTCCGGTGAATTACGAAGAGACGATAGTTGTGCGAGAGTGGATGCTGATAATTCAAAAGTGCACGTTCCAGTTGAAATGTTCGATTGTAATATTGAGAAAGGTGGAAAGGAATGGATGCTGACAAAGGTATTGTATTGATCCGAGAAAAACTTACGAATAAGCGCTGAATTAACCGTATATTACCAGCAATTAAAAATATGTACTCCGATCGTAGGACAGCAAAATAGTACACGTAGAAACCGGCCTCTGTCTCGATGGTACTCAAGTACAGAGCGAGGAAGATGTATTCGCTACCGCTTGTGCCGATGTGCCAAATCAATTTTGGAAGTTTGATTTTTATAATAGGAAAATTCTACCCAAGTAATGTTTTTGACGTCAAATACACGGTTGAATTGGTTATATGTTAATGCTTTAATAAAAATGTTTTATTCTATGCGCCTTGTGAGTGTATACGACCTCGCCATCTTTGCCTGTTTCAAGATCTCTATGATTCCAAGACTCCTTGGGAGAAGCGCTGCGCTTACTTACGACACGAGTTTTAAGCCAGCGGCACACAATACTTGTTTTCGTGCTGGATTGCTGGCTGGATAAAAATACTGCGTTCTGATTGGTGCATTTCCAAAAATGGATGACAATACACCAATCACAACGCAATATTTTTATTCTGCACGAAAACAAGCATCGTGTGCCGCTGGCTTTAAACTTCAATCGCTTCATTTGTCCATTTTTTCTTTTTATTTTCGTTTTTTTTATACGTAGTAAATTGCAAACATCGAAGAGAAACAATCGATAACAAAAACGAAATTCGATCCGTCGATTCGTCATTCGGTCATCATCCTAAGGCTAGATGTCGCTAGTGAAAAAACCTTCGTGCGCATGTTCCGATTTAACTTGTGACTTGAACCGTTAGTTCAACTGAGGATTCGTTCAACTGAAGGAAACTTGCAGAGACTTGTTTAAAAATCTGTATCCTGTATTCAATTTAAAAGTATCTGCGTTGTCTTCGTATAATTTTTCATTATTTAGAGATTATTTAATAATTGTATCATGTCGAATGTCTTCGATTTAGTCCTAAAGTGATGTTATCGAGGAAGAATTGCGAAAACAAATATTTACGAGTACCATCGATGTTCAGAAAGATACAACAGTCAAGAAACAATAAACAAACGAATTGTATGATGCAGACGTGTGTTTTTTGTCACATTTGAACAATAATTATGTTGTTATTATCGTTCTCAAATTGGCTGTAAGAATTAATTATGGCACGTGTCACTGACAAAATTATGCGAATCCTACATAAATGTCATCTCAACGAAGATGACTATGAGGATAAGTTTCAAGATTCGAAGGAGTCTAATGAGGAGATTAGGAGTCACGCAGAGAAGCTGCTTACAAGTACGCCAAACAACTATGTAGGATGTATTGAATATGTTAGTTTAAATAAAATGCTAGCTACCTGTAATTTAAAGGTGAGCAATTATTAGCTTTATCTCAATGTTGATAATAAAGGTAGAAATATATCTTGAGTCAATCGGTATTAATATCAGACACATGTTGTCTTCTTTACAGATTGGAGATGAATTCACAGCTATTCATCATTTGATCGAATCTCATGCAGTAGTACTTCGACAGCAGATCTTACACAGGTATCAGAAAACCCAAATGCGTGAATCCCTGTTGAACGAGCCTCAAACATACGGGTTGAAACCAACATATGTGAAATTCGATACCAACTCTACAAATAGTACATTAAAGTCAAAACTCTCAGAACTGCCGAAAGGTTTATACCATATGCTTTTTTTCTTCCTGTATAATGTATTTCCGGAGTAAATCTTTTATATTTCTTTCTTTATATTATTCACAGAATGGTACATGCTTCAAGTCACTGTTCAGTATGAATCTTCAAACATATTAAAGCACACAAGGCACATATCCAGCTTAATGCATGCTCTACATATTACGATACTTCCAACAGGACCATCTGAAATAGAACCCCTGTGCATAACATTGCCGAAACCTGCAATGCAAGTCTCCTATGATATTTGTACAGAAATTCAAAATATATTAGCTAGCAACAAAACCAAGCTGGAGGCTACTTACACAAATAACGAATACTATTGGACAATGCGCAAGGAACAAGACAACGAGATGAAGGTAGGTTCAGAATTGAATCAATGCTTTTTTTCAATATGTAAGTTCAAAAGATGACTTGTCGTCTAGATGGCTATAGATGGATTAGAGAGCACATGGTTGAGGGAATGGAGAGTGCTATTTATGGCTGACCCCATTATGGACTTGGAAATAGTAAATGAGATTCATGACATGATCGATAAGTTAATATTGGATTCCAGGTTTTCGTGAGTAATATTAAATAGAATTTAAAGCTCAAGCTGGCAAATATCGTTGGATTTCATTATTGTACGTTTCAGTAACAACATATCAAAGCGATGTAAATGGCTCTTGAAGAAAGTATCCACAGGTGCATGCTTTCTCACGTGTGAAGAAATAGCGCGTGCAATCAAATTCCTACTTCCTAAGCATGAAAAACTTGCAAATAACATTATTTTATCTATTTATGGCATGTTATCTCGTACAGAGAAATTAAAGGATGCGAAGCGGAAGACATTAGTGTTGATAATTGACGAAGTAAGTACATATGTAAAGCATTCAGAAATAATTATGTATATTGTGCTAATATTTATTTATGTAGATTTCCGTTTCTTGTAACTTTCCGTATTTTCTTATTCCCCAGCATATAGATTACATAGCATTTGAAGCGATGGAAATTATCAAAAACCACCCTATCACTCGTTTCCCGTCTCTGCACATAGCGTACGCGTTATTCAAAGAACACGAAAACACTATAGTGGACGGATGTAAAATCATCCAAGCCAAAGAGGACATGGGTATTTGTATAGTGAATCCGTCGGGCAATCTGCATAAGATGGAGAAACGGTTGAAGCTTTTCATAAACTTCTGGCTACCACAATGGAAAAGCTATTACACAGAGCCGAATGAAGAGATGTTCGAAGATGCGCTAGTAAATCACGACGTTTTAATGTAACGAAGGTTTTATTTCTATCTACAATCGTCATCGGATTTTCGTTCGTCTAATCGTTTTTTTTCTTCGTGTAGGTACAATGGTCACGGAAGTGGCATACAATATTTGCCCGGAGAAGATATTGAAAAGACGAAAGTGAGGTCCACTGTTTTGTTATTCGGGTGTAACAGCATGAAACTACTTGTGATAGGAGGAAAATATCCACCTTACGGTGTTGCGAATCAATATTTAATAGCATGCAGGTGAGAAGATCACTTATTCTTCTATGGCGTGTATAAGAAATATTCTTTTCTTCACTGAAATATATAAAAATGAGAAGTCGTATATTATGCGCAAAAGTGAGAGAATCGCTTCTTTTGATCGTGAAATTCAACGCTACAACTTCGCACCGAAATTATGCTGATGATATTATGGCTCACGTTTTTACGAGACATCGGAAGTTAGATGAATTTTACCCATTTTCTTTGGTCGAGGAAAGCGATTCTTTCATTTCTATGTGTAGTGTATACTTTTGTACGTCACTTCTTATTTTCGCATTTTGGCATTTTACGCACGATTTCGTACATTCGTTTGATTTTTAGTCCTTGTCTCCTGGGCACGCTGTGGGAAGTAACGGATGTCGACATTGATAAAATGACTGCGAACTTCATAAGTAGTTGGATCCCGTCGACGTCGAAGAAATCTTGGGCCGAAGTGGACGTGAACAGTTGGACGTACGGTAGTATGAGTTAGTATTATTTATATCGCAAATCGGAGATTCTTTTTTAATTACGCTGGACAATCATCTTCAATGAAATTCCTCAGAATTCACGAAGAATGCTGAAACGAATAAAACGGAAATGGAGTCAGAAATGTTGAGAGCGGTGGCCAAGTCGAAAAAAGCTTGCTCACAATACATGACGGCAGCAGCGATAATAGTACGAGGTTTACCGACGAAAATTGTGTAAATTTACCCGATATCGCGGCACTGACATTTGCAATACTAATGTAAGGTAACTTACGTTTCTTCTAAGTTACGCAATTGTGTTCCGGAGAGAACAAAACAAGACTTACAGCGATCGATTGTGGAGAAGTAAATGTTTGTATTTTTAAATATTTCTTTAATACGAAGATTCCGGGAGAGACGGCAACTGTATACAAAAATAATAAAAACGAACAGAGGTAATATATTATGCACGTTTAAAAAAAAAATTGTTACAAATCTCGGATCGTATCTGTCGTGTTTTGGTTTGAGTGTTAGTGTCTTCATTAATTCAAGTTATGATCTTTGGTCACATAATGATCTGTGGTTCTGGCACAGAAGTGGAAATGCTCTTATGCGGTAGGACTTGTCCGCCGTTGATGTACAGCTCGTCCTTCACGATAACGTCCTCCCCCAGCACGGTTGTACCTTCCATTCTCACCCATCGTCCTACAACGCTTCTCCAACCAACTATGCATCTATTTTTAAATACAATCTCCAATTATTTTTTTCGACACAGACGTTACCGTGCATATTGAGGTTTACCGTGTACAGAAGTGAGCGACTTAGTGTGCACAAGGCGACAAATATTTACCCATTAAGCCACGCGTGTTCCTTTATCACAGCTGCCTTCAGAATGGTGCTTCGTTTGATACAGCATCCGTCTGCTAGAGTGACGCCAGGCCCGATCGTGACATTAGGCCCGATTCTGCAGTCTTTACCGATTATAGCTGTCGGGTCTATCAGAACGTTGCCTACTATACCAGGTCCAGAATGAAGCTGTTCAGGATGCTTCTGCCTCAACGAAGTAAGATACATAGACATTCCTGTATGAAGTAACGGCTATTGAGTATGACTGAACAAATTCACACACACACACACACACACACATACATATATCCAAAAGTATGTTACTATTTATAATTTAAGTATGATGTGTAAACCATTGTACAATTATATTCTTCCGTAAACGTCATATATCTAATACTTACCTGTGAGAAAATCTTTAGGTTGTCCTACGTCCATCCAGAAACCTGGCAGTTCCATCGCGTATAATTCCCCATCTTGAGCCATACTCGGAAAGACTTCTTTCTCGATACTCGTAGGTTTCAATTCTATTCTATTCAGTACGCTCGGGTTAAGAATGTACATGCCTGCGTTCGTGAACATCAAATTTCTTTTGTTAGAGACACGTATACACACACACACACGCAACTATTCCTCTCTCTGGGAATTTTCCCAAACGAATCTTAATGTCGTACCTGCATTAATTTTATTGGATATAAACTCTTGCGGTTTCTCGACGAAGCTCTCGATTTTTCCATCTTCCCCGTACACAACCACACCATATTTCGACGGTTCTTCCACCTTAGTGACGACTATGGTTCCCTCTTTCCCATGGCTCTCATGAAACTCGAGAAGTTGCTTGAAGGGAAAATCACAGATAATGTCAGAATTCAGGACGAAGAACGGATCGTCACTGGCGCATAAATATTCGCGAGCAAGTGCTAGCGGTCCTGCGGTACCCAGTGGTTCCGGTTCATGAGAGAAAATCAGTTGCACCCCTAACTTTTTCGCCTCGTGTACCAATTCTTCTTCCATTTGCTGCGCCCGATAAGAGACAGCCAATATCACTTCTGTTACATTTGTCTGTACCTAAGAATGACAAGGAGACAAACTTAGATACTGGAAACGAGACTGTGGTTGAAATTGAATTTTTCTGTTCTATTTGAATACGTACAAGTGCCTCGATCTGATGCAAAAGCATCGGTTTGTTAGCGAATTCAACGAGCGGCTTAGGCCGACTTAAGGTGAGAGGTCGCAGTCTGGTTCCATAGCCACCGACAAGTATCAAAGCACGCATGGTTTGCAGCTTCTTCTTCTTCTCGTGCATTTCTGCAAAACCTGCAATAACAGCTCGTAATAGTACAGTGAGATTGAACGAATTTTGCTCTCAGTAAGTTGCACATTGAATTTGAAACCAAAGACGGTGTAATCAATTCAAATCACCAACTCTGCATTATGTTATCTCTGAATTTGTGATAGGAGAAATAATCAATCCTTTGATCAAGTAGAAAAAAAATTACTGGTCTGATGATCGATACCGTCACGTGTGGTCTTTTGTCAAATACGTGATGTTACTTACGCGCGAGGTCGTCCCGTTGAAGAAAATCTGATATCAGCGATAAACGCTGCCACGTAAGATATACTCGTTGAGTACGATTGTGTTACGTGTTTACGAACAAATTCGATGGTTAGGCGTGACAATCCCGTTGCGCGAGATCGCACGGTCGACATAGACGATTATGAATTAACACGAACATAAATATTTCGTGTACCTTTCGCACATAATACGTCGCCGTTTTCCCCCGGCGGTTCTCGGCTTCACGAGTGTTTTCCGCGACTGATTAACTTTCCGGCGATATCAGCGGCCGCCATCTTACTACTTGCCCAGCGTAGCTGTCACTTGTCACTGCCACTTTTAACGATAATAGTAATATCGACTGTAACGCATTTTATGCTATTGTATATACGGCGACAGTGAGAGACACAGTATTTGTTGCGTCACAATTTATTTATCAATATTTGTTATCTATAAGTAACATTCCGCATGTATGTATCTGCGGTGAATCATCACTGTATATATAATTTGATCACGCATACCATTGGCGGGTGAATATGCGTTTACTTAAAATTTAAAACCCGCGCTGGACGCACTGTAGATATACTTAAAGAAAACTCGAAGAAATCTGACACAAACATATATTTGAGATACAAAAGAAAAAGGCTGGATTAGCACGCGTATACACACACTGTACAAGATAGATATAATATTTATTTAAATGTAAAGTACAGAAAAAGGCGCAGATGTATTACACAATCATCTCCAATTCTCGGGCATAGTCTATCGCGAGGGCCGCCAGTTCGGAGCTCGGGATAGGCTCCTCGGATTTCTTTTCGCTGGTCGTGCTGAAGTTGAAGTAGCCGTCCTTCGACAGGTTCCAGTTTTTCTTAGAAGCAAAGGCTCTGATGTCCTTCTCCGTGTTCAAGTTTAACATCCGCGCGGCGTCTTGAATGGAGATCTTGTCGTACGCGCTCTCCATGCACGCGCCGATCTCGTCGCGCACGGTGTTCAGTAAGATGTCGATGAAGAAGTTGTAGGAGGCCGCGGGCACGTTACCTTTGGCCAGGAAGATCTTGTTGTATGAACCCTCCATAAGATACTGCTCCAGGCTGAGGGGATGCCTTATGTAGACGTTGGACTGGATCTGATCGGACGGCAAGAGCTCCAGCTCCGTGTGAAACTCGGCGACTCGGTTTTGCGACAACAGAAACAGGAGATTCAGACCGAGGAGCTGATACTTGTACGCCGATTCCAATAATCCGGACTTGTAATCGAAATAATAACACTTCAGTTGCGCCATGTACCGTTCGAACGAAGGTATATCCTCGGTCGCGATGCTCCACTGTGCTCCGATCTCTAATATGTCTCCTGTAATTCAAGCGAGATGGAATCAAGATCGTAATTTATAATGTTTCGATATATCATTAAAACTTGAGATTGTGCCATCAGATAATGAGTACAGAGGAATCTAGAAGACGTTAGATTTTTATCTCTCCGTTATTCGATACCGACCTACTTTAATTATAGAAAGATTGTAATTTCCAGTATATATTATTATAATGTTGACATTAGCGATACTTAAAATAGGAGATACATACTGGCGATGAGCAACTCATTTTGACTAGCGGTGCTGTTTGACGTCGGGAGAAACATCAGATGAGTGAGGCCAATCTGCACGAGATAAGAATGTAATTTAATTGTCAATGTCGTGCGTTCAATCATCAAGCTTATATGCATAGAAGTATATCTAAAGGCAAAAGTAATGAAAATAATTATTATAAGGTTTCATGAGAAACAATGACAATTCACTTTGACAATCCACAGTGAGGTTATAACTTCATGATGAGATGAAATATCTCACCGGTGATTACCTTATTCAATGCTGTAAATAAAATGCATGAGTTACCTTTAGTTGAGTGAGCAGTTCGCCACATTTCGACAGGTTGCACGGAGTTTTCGTCCATTCTCGTTTCAAGTTTTGATATAAAGACACAACATCCTTGAGAGCCGCCATTTTTAATCTCGCCGTGGAGCAGTCGGGTAATTTAGACGCGCCACGGATAGTCTGATCCTGCCAATATATATTGCGGACAGGTCAAGCTTATTCATACAAAATAGTCTGGTTTCATTAACTTGTGTTAACCCTTCCGGTACATTTGACGAGTGAGACTCGTCATCTGCTTACTTGGGCATAAAATGTATTACTTTTACATATTAATCCATATAGCGACAAATTAAATCCGTCCCATGGGCATAAAAATCTTAAAATAATTCAGTACTCAAAGGGTTAATCAAATCGGTCGATTACATTCGGCTCTTTCGTTAGAACTGTCCGATCGTTGTTAGATAGTTCCAATGGACACACTGAATTTAATCGACCGATTTCATTAACTGGGCCTACACGTGATCATGGAATTTCCCGGTCAGAGCCTGGCAATTTCTGATTTTCAATAAAAAACATATTACACTTCGGATTTTTACAGATTTGCTGCACCAAATTTGGGAGAATAACGCTTTCCGCATGTAGAACGCGAGGACGCCAATCAGCGCGCCGTTTCTTGCCGCATGGCAAGCGTTCTCACGTTCTGTGCGCGGAATTCTCTAATTGGAAATGCCATTGCGTCGGATATCGCAGGCAATCTGAACCCGCCTTTAACCCCGCAGGCGGCGTACTTCGTGCATTCAAGCGGAGCGATCTTTACCGGCCTTTCGCTTCCTCTTCGCGTGACTGGATACAATGGCGTCCGGAGTAAGTGACTTTCACGCGAATTTTCACCGTTCGGCATCGGCGCGACGGCACGTCGATGATGCCGCCGAATCGCACGGAAATCAAGCCCGGCTAACGTATCGATCGTGGTACTTTTCATTTTTTTTCCAGACCCTCTACACGTACCCGGAAAACTTCAGAGCCTACAAGGCCCTGATAGCGGCCCGGTTCTCTGGCGCCCGGATCAAAGTCGCCGAGGACTTCGTATTCGGCGAAACTAACAAGAGCGAGGGGTTCTTGAAGAAGTTCCCGCTGGGCAAAGTAAGCCTCGTCCTCGCAAACCATTATTCAGTTTTGCGCCCCTCACAAATATTTTACTATTTATAGTGAAACAGCTGATACATTCTTCTTGTCACATGTGACGAAAGAATGTGTAATGGATTTGTTCCTTCTAGTTGCATCATGTTGATCCTTTTGTATGCGTTCAGTCATAGGGGAAGGAAAGAAATGGGGAAAAATTGAGAGAAAGCAAATATACAAAAAAATGCAGCTAAAATATACTGTCATTTTTCATTTACGATTAGTTATTGTATTGTTCTAATAATATACTATTGTTGGGTGCTAAACTCAACCAATATTGAAATATATCTTTGTATGCGTTACTATATGTTTAATTTAAAAATATTTCAGTAGTTATTTGTTAAAATTAAGCTGCTACAATTAAAAGAATACTGAAATTTTTAGGTGCCAGCATTCGAGACATGTGACGGCAACTGTATTACAGAAAGCAATGCAATTGCTTACTATGGTAAAACTTTACATTTTACAAAATTTTGCGTTATATATACCTGTTATTTATAAATTATATTAATAGACTTTATATGGCAGAAGTGGTACATACAATCTATTAGTAGAAATTGCATTAATAGAATTATATACATAGGAATACATATATGGGAAATATACACATATTTTATATTTATAGTGGCTAATGAACAATTAAGGGGTAAGACCGACCTTGAACGTGCATTGGTTATCCAATGGCTCGATTTTGCCGACTCCGAAATTCTCCCCGCCAGTTGTGCTTGGGTATTCCCTCTTCTCGGAATAATGCCGTATCATAAGCAGGTATTACTGCAAACTTTCCTCCTTATATTATTCGTACTTATTCAATTTCGCATACACATGTTTAAATATGCATCCTCCTTCAAAGGCAAAATTAGCAATATGTCATAGCTATTCTTTGTAACTCAAGGAGGTAAATTATAACTCAGCATATTGTATTTGATTTACATGTGCCGTGTATTGCATTTATGTGCGGCGTATGCATTATGTGCGGTATATATTTACAATATCGCATACATTTATAACGCATCAAACTTATCTCCGTATGATTTTATCATCACTGAAAAAGCTAATGTCGCGTTTTAATGCATTTTTTATATAATTATTTTTAGACTGTCGAACATGCTAAAGAGGATATCAATAAAGCGCTCACCGTTTTAAACTCGCATTTGCTTACACGAACCTACTTAGTGGGAGAACGACTGACTCTGGCGGATATCTGTGTAGCTATGACGTTGCTGCACTTGTATCAGTATGTTCTCGAGCCGGAGCTACGTAAACCTTACCAGAATGTAAACCGGTGGTTCCAAACGGTCATTTACCAACCCGAGTCCATTGCTGTTATTGGTGCCTTTAAACTGGCGGATAAGACCCTCGAGTATGATCCTAAGAAATTTGCGGAAACTCAGGGAAAAGTTAGTACTTGAAAAAAATATGGAATAATATAAAGTAATTTAAGTAAATATATCACGAGTTTCTTTTCTTATTATTATTTTATAAAGGTTTCCAAGAAGGAGAAGAAAGAGAAAGAGTCCAAGAAGGAGCCAAAGGAGCCAAAAGAACCTAAGGAATCGAAGAAGGAGTCCAAGACTTCAGCGGAGAAGGCTCCAGCAGCAGCAACAGAGGAGGAAACTGATGCAACAGATGAAGCTTTAGCTGCCGAGCCGAAAAAGAAGAATCCCTTCGCTTCGATGCCTAAAAGCTCCTTCGATCTCGATGATTTCAAACGTTTCTATTCCAACGAAGATGAATCCAAGTCTATCCCGTACTTCTGGCAGAAGTTCGACCCGGAGAACTATAGCATTTGGTTTAGCGAATACAAATATAAAAATGAATTGACTAAAGTATGTAGGCGTGTCCGTTTAACTGGCATTTCAAAGTTTGCTTGTTGAACTTGACGCTATTATTATTAATTTAATTCGTACCTTCTTCATGCGCGCAGGTTTTCATGTCGTGTAATCTAATTAGCGGTATGTATCAACGATTAGATACGATGAGAAAAGGCGCATTCGCTAGCGCCTGTATATTCGGAGAGGATAATGACAACACCATCAGCGGTATCTGGATCTGGCGCGGGCAGGACCTTGTTTTTACAGTACGTCTTAATGCAAACACAGCTTATACGTATGAACATAACATGCTTACACACACACACATACTTTTCTCTTTGTATAGCTGAGCCCAGATTGGCAAGTGGATTACGAATCGTACAGTTGGACGAAACTGGACCCGTCTAAGGAAGAAACCAAGGACTTGGTCAAGCAATATCTCAGCTGGATCGGTACGGACAAAGAAGGACGCAAGTTTAACCAGGGAAAAGTCTTCAAGTAAATCTTGACACGTGCATCAAATAAACAGAAAATTCTATTCGCATTAAATAAATCTAAAAAAAAAAGAATGACAAAATATATCGCAAGACAGTTTGTACACGTCCTTCAAAAATCCCATATTCGATAGGATAAAGCAGCATCCGGGATCTTTCGCCTAACTATGTTCCTTTCTCTCGATCTCTTTGTCGTGTAATATATATCTGTCTAGTTTGCAAAACATTGGAAAATGTCTTCAAGGGGTATACAGAGATATAAAAGTTTGATTGTAGGAAAATGTCCAGAGTCCATGAATTTCTGTTATCAGGATGTCGCATAATATTTATTTCGATATTTCCCATATGTGCATACACACACACACACGCACACACAAAACACATTCATACTTTTCTATTTAAATCATCGGCACGTTCGATCGTTTCGTTTATGAGTTGTTATTAGTATCACCTTACATACTCGTGTATGTGGAACGAGACTAGCAAATCTTTGATGAAACGAATGTATCGTACAGCCACGTTCAAGTGGAGAAAGAGAACAAAGACTTACATCCTGAGCCCTACGTTAAGCTTGTGAAAATGTAATTACCAGGAATATATGTGTAGATTTGTTACGATTATTATTTAATTCGATTGCATTGTGTAGCATTGCGCAGCTGTGTTTTCAGATCTTTTCATTAATTTAAGATTATCTCAGACGTGCAATACGTACATATACCGCACCCTTGGCATTTTCAAAGCGTGTACGAATAATTTCCTTAACATTTACATAAGCATATATTTTCAAACTAATAAAAAGGATAATGTTGAAGAATATTGAAATAATACCTCCCTCTAATTTTCCGACAAAGCAGTGAATTTTTTAGTATCGATAAAAAAAAAGTAACGTAAGATGGGGATTGTTATTTAAGAAAAGGAAAAATTGCTAATTATTTTGAGACACCAAAACTCAACAAGTGGGTACTACAGACTATTGAAGGTACTACAATATATTTAACAACAAGAATTCGTTGATTCCCTTATATTTACAGTAGACAATAATTTATTTGTCAAACATAAAGGCTCTTAGAACCCTTTCATTTCCATCCATTGCTTAATGCGAGACACATGATCACCTCTGAATTTAATTTTACTTGAAAACTCGTGTATTTGAGTACCGATAACTCTATCGGAGTATTGTTCCACATAGGACCTTAGGTCACGCTCTAATGCCCATATGTCTCCCTGAATTCTGCGAACTGTTGTAATTTTTAACATTCCATTGTACTTTCTTTTTAGATACACGGGATACTGATAACTTGGCGAGCGTTCTATGAAATACGGATAATCTGTCGGTGAAGCTGTTAAACAGATTGAAAAGACAATTTTTTTTTTTTAACATTGACAATTTTTAACAGTATTTTTCGAAGTATAAGATAAATATATTTAACAAGGCTTTTACCACGCGGTGGTTTCCAACCAGATGGCAGCTTGACATCTCCAGTGGGTGGTTTAGGTATTGTTTTGTATGGTAATAGACGCTCTACATATTTCCATTCGTTTGGATCTTTTGTTATCTCATAATCCGTGTAATTCTCAGGTTTTGTGTACCAAGGAGACGATTTGTAACTGCTCCATCTGCATTGAATCTAAAAAAATTAAAATTATTTTACAGTGAGAGTCATGTATTACAAGCAACTTTGTCACGAATTAAACAAATATTTGAATATGTGAAAATTATCAATACGATTGTAGACAAGATGCAAGAATTTTGTCATTTTGTAACGACAACAGTTTTGTACAGTATAAATTTCTTATATTTTACTGCATACACATACACACACGGAGCAAAAATTGCCAAAAGAAGATCACATGGCAATTGTCGAGATCATTTTAATTAAACTTCGACGAGACCGTGTCGATTTATAGGACCGATCACACCTTTCAATTCGCACGATTGCGTACAGAAGAAAAAAAACAGTCATAAATTTTTTTTTAATTACGCTCTCCCTAATGCAGTCCCCTGTAAACGGGCGATATCTATAGGTTAGCAATTATTACACCGTCGCTGCGACGTTATTTCAAGTACTAATTGAACCGACATAATTTATTCGGCATTAACAGTTCGCGGGTTCGATCGGACACGTCGTCGCATCGTAGACCACCAAGCACGCTCAGATAAGTGCCGTTTAAACCGAACTTTTTATCACGTGCCGTTCCGCGATCGTATTCATGTGCCGCGTGTACGATCGTGCGATTTTCATCTCGCTGTATACCTCGCCACGCCGTAACGCAGTGTAATTTATTGATCATGCGTAGGCGCGATCGATGGACGCCGTGAATCGCGACACGACGTGGATTGCGAAAGAGCCGAGAACGGAAGAACGAGCACGTTGTCTGCGACGACTACATGAGAGGCCCTTCGGCAGCGCCGTGTCGAGGTATGATCGCGCGACAGGATGGCGGACGGAGGAGGCGAATTCGCGAGCGATGAGCGAGGATATAATATCCCGCGCGGAATTACCTGATCGACAATGGGCGCGATCGCGCCGCTCAGCGATCGACCGGGGCTCAGGATCGCTGCGGGGCCGACGCGTGTGAAAATTCGAAGGGCGGCCATTTTGGGACTTCGGTAAATAAGGGTCCGGCCGCCATTGATGCGCACGTACGACGGGCGCGTCTTCCCTTTCGTGCTCGCTCGCTCGCTGTCTCTCTCTCTTTCTCTCACTCCCTCTTTCTCTCTCTCGCTCGCTCGTCACGGCCGAGCGCTGGGTAGTCCTCGTGCCGCGGCTACCCGCGTACCACCGCGCCACCGCTGACGTACATTTCCTCGGCCGGGTTTGGGCCTCCGCGGCCGTAGCCGACGACGAGGCGATTCCGCTTTAGGTAGGTGAGAACGCGGCTCGTGCGAGGCCGAAATCCGCGGTGTAACGCGAGGGCCCAGTTAGCGCGCACGCACCGTAGCGATCGCCGAGAAGCGCCAGGCTGGACGAGCGAGCGAGGCGAAGTGCGGCGAAGAGGGGCGAAGCGAGCCGTGGAGAAGCGAGGGGCGAGGCGAGGAGGAGGTGAGCGCTCTGTAGCCGCAGCGGTCGCCGTCGCCGCCGTAGCTCTCATTTCCACGGCGGCGTCGCGACGCTGCCGGCGGTGCGCGCGTGTCACCTCTTTTTTCTTCCTCCCTCGCGGACCCGCGAAGAGAGAAAGAGAGAGAGAGAGAGAGAGACGCGTCTCTCGTATAGTGCCGGCGTCCTCCTCGCTCTCTCTCTCTCTCGTTATTTCGACCGGGCGCGCGGCGCGCAGGGTTGCACTTTGCGGTGAAGTAACGCGCGCACGGACATTAGCGCGAACGGGCTATGCGGCTGGGAGAGGTCGCACGGCTCCGCCGTCAGGTGGCGGTAGTCTGAAAACAGTAGGACGGCGTACACCCTGCAACGGGACCGTCTTTTTCACGGGGATTGTCGTCCGCGTTTTCTCGCGATCACCACGGACTTACGGCAGGATTTTCGGCCCCCGAGGTGAGTACTGCTGTCCGGGCTGCCACGGAAGTCGCATTCGGCCGGCGCTGTTGGCCCGCCGCGTCGCACCGAAGCCCTGAAAACCCGAGCCGAGCGCGACCTTTTGTTTATTCGTGGCGATTTTTTCGCGACTACTTGTCGCGACGATTTCCAGCGTTTCCAGTGCGTTCGCGGCCGGATTTTCGCGCCCGGCAGTTAGCGTGTGCCACGCGCTTTCTCGCGGCCGCGGAATCGCGAGGATCGGCCAGCGACGGACCGAGATATCGCGCGAAATATTTCACCGTGGCGGCGGGTATCCGTGAGTCGCGCAGCGCGCAACGAGGCGCTCGCGCTCCCGTGTGTATCCGTGTGTTAATGTGAAGTTTGTCACGTAATTTTTCTGGCGGCCAGGGCCGCATCTATCAACCCCGGTCGTCCTGTCCCGTGCGTCAGCCACCGACGATAAGGATCGTGCGCTTTTCTTTACTCCGTCTCTCTCTCTCTTTCTCTCTGTCTTTCTCTCTCTCTCTCTCTCTGTCTCTCTCTCTCTCGCGGCGTCACGCTCGCGCGAGCGCGCTTTTCCTCGTCCCTATCTCCCCTTTCGCGTACGGGAAGGTGTTTGCCTTTTGATTGTGTGTACTGTCGCAAAACCCGTGCGTCGCGCACTCGCGTCGCAAAATTTGCGCTCACTCTCGCGCGCGCGCACGCACGCTACTGCTCTTTACCGTCATAAGACACGGTTTTTGACTCGCCATGTTCACTTTTGCGCGAACTTTCCTCACCTTTTGAACGAGTCCTTATCAGCGCGTAATGTTCTACCGTTTTCTCTATTGTGTACATTCAGGTTTTCCACGGGATATGTCGCTCTCCCTGCGCTTTTCTTCCCGTTGATGTCAGAATTTTCACGGGGCGATTTTCCGGATGATCGTTGAGAATGATTTCAATGATGTGTAAATTATTTGTGTGCGACGATTAAAAATTTTTCGCAAACGATCTCGAGAATAAGCGAACGCACGTTTTTGACAAAGAGACAGCGCCTTAGAGGATGTAAATGATATTACAGGAGCCCAATGTGGGTGGAAGTGAGATGGCATCCAGGGAAAAGAAACCCTTAGCGCCTTCCAAACCGAAACAGAAGGCGAGTAGTGACTCTGGCTTGCCATCCAATGAGGTCAAGAATAAAAAGGGCAAATCTTTGCCGAGTATAAAGCAGCAGCAACTTGCGCGTGAGATTTTTGATACAGTAGCAACAGGTAATCAGCTTCCTGCTAAACTAGAGGCGAGCCTGCCACGCAAGAAGGCTCTGAAGAATCTGAAGCGCAAACAGAACTTGAGAGTAGCCAAGGCAAATCTCATCAAGTCCAAGGTTACCAAGAAAGTGACCGGCAAGAATATACGTGGTATATCTTCTGACGTGAAGAAGGGTGTGAAAGCGAGGAAAGTCAAGCCGTGTGAGGAGCCGACCATCAAATCAATTGGTATCGCTCTGAGGCTTTCGGAGAATCAGGCAAACAGCGGAGACAACGAAGGCAAGGGAACCGAAACACCAAGTAAAAGTGCCAAGAACAATCTCAGGACCAAGAAGACCAAATCTACATCTTCGAGGAGCGTAGGGGAATCAGGAAACGAAGAGGCACAGGAGGCAGAGGAGGCCAGTGTCACATCATCCAGCACAAAGAGCAGCCCTAAGCTCGGCAAGAAGAAAGCAATAGAAAGCCCCGACTCTTTGTCCAAGAGTGCCAAAACAGCAAAGTCAGCGAACTTGAAGAAAAGTAGTGTCAAGGACGTTGTTGTAAAAGTAACGGAGGGTGATAGCAAGAGTGCTAAGGGCAAGAAGAGCACTGGCAAGGAATTAGATTGTGGTAGTAGTGTAAAAAGCAATACTAGCATTGAGAAAATCACGAAAGTCGTTTTGGATAACAAGAGTTCTATTGATCTTACTATAGACGCAGTTATTGCTTCAATGTTGAGCGATTCTGAGACTGACAGCCAACAAAGCGCCACGGAGAAGACTGAGGGGAAGGTAACGAGAAGTAGGAAGATGTTGGTGGACGAAAATAATGCCGCCGACATTGAAGTAAAGAAGGAGCCTGATGCTGAAGACGCGAAGCTCACGTCGGACGGGGAGTGCGCGGACGCGGATCAGGAACTCCACCATCAGAATGCGATCCAGCTGAGGAAGAGGCCCAAAGTGGCCAGCCATTCCATCGACCAGGTGTTTCTGTTTCAGACCAGCCTGCGGAATGGGAAGCAACGTCATCTGTCAGACTCGGGCAACTCCACGCCGGACGTCGATCCCAGAAGACGCAGGTTAAATTCAGACGGGCCTCCTGTCACCGATAATTCGATGGAACATATCGCGGAATGCAATGTAAATACGGACTCTTGTTTGCCGGATCCTAGCTGTAACGAATCTCAGACCACTGTGGTAGCGTCGGCCAAGGAGGACGTTTGTTCGACGAAGGACGACGTGTCCAGGAACTTCGACGAGGATGCCGAGGCAGGGTCGGAAATCGAGAACAACAACAACAGCGACCGCGTGGACAGAACGGGCGAGATCGGTCCGACACTGCGCTCGAAAACCAAAACGAAAAACACGGAGAGCGAGGCGACGAAGGACGACGGTATCAAGGCGGACGACACGTGGGTGTCGTCGAAATGTGCGGACACGCCGGACGATTCGAAGAAACTTAATAACTTAGACCAAGCTAGAAAAGACAGTATTTTAGCGAAGCTCGGAGATAAACCTAAAGGCCGTAGGAATAGCTTAAACATAGATATGAAGAAGACCGTTAACTCTTTTTACAACGCAGACAAATCGGACACCGCTCCGAAGGCGCCGATCGACAAAATTATAGAAGGCATTAAATTAACTATCGTCAAGTCGATCGAGGACAAGATCTATCGTCCCGGATTGAGTAAGAACTTCGACATGCCCAAGAGCGAGGAGGTTATCGCGCCGCTCAGCACGGAGTCCCAGAAGATGGGTCTGGAGGAGAACGCCGACGAGGACAAGTCCATCGTGACGGAGAACGAAAGCACATCAGAGAGCTCGGAAAATTCAGTACCAAAAGTGGCCGATACTGCCAAAGAGATTGAGAAACTAGTCATGTTTGATATCGAGGAAGCAGAGACGCATTCGCAGAACACTCAAGAGAATAAAGCCTCCGGTAGCGACAGGATTAACGATGTACATAATACCTGCGAGTCTACGTGTAATATAAGTAGTAATAATGGTACATCTTGCGTGGACGAGTCCGAGGCGGCGGGATGCGTCGGCGGTTGCAGTACGTCGGGCAACGACGCGCCGGTCGGCGACGGTGATTCCAAGTTACCGGACGAGAGTAAGAAGGCCGTCAGCACTCGCAAATCGCCGAGAATCAGCGACAAGGGCTCGGACTGCGCCGCCGGTAATCCCGAAACGAGGAAGTCGAACAAGATGGGAGTCCCCAAGTCGGACGACGCGGACGCGTCGCCGAGATCCGGCTGCGAGGACGAGTCGCCGAAGGAGGACGCGGTGTCCCGTCAGCAACCGGACGACAACCCCGTGTCGACACCCGCACCACTGACCACTCCCGAGCAAACGGAGGAGAGACCCGCCGAGGGAGGCGTGCGAGGGGCGAAAATTGCGGAGGAATCCGAGACGGAGATCTCCCTGAACGTTTCGGACGAGTCGGAGACGCTCGAGAGCATATCGCGCGAGGTGGAGAAACTGATAGCGGGTGACCAAGCTGCCAAATCGTCATCGAGTCCCGCGAACGACGCGACGAGACAGTGCGAAGGGGAAGACGCGAAGCCGAGGGACAAGGAGGAGGAGGCTCCGAGTGTAAACGAAGCGTCTGCTCACGACGACGACGGTGCCGCGTCGTCGGGCTCGCCGGCCGCGAACGACGAAGCACCGTCGCCGGGCAGGAGCGGTGCGGACGGGACGGAAACGTCGCAGGAGGAGGACGAGGCCAGCTGCGAGACGGCGAATCTTAAAACTAGCAATAACCACTCGTCGACCACCACAAACTGTGATTCAAATAGTGAATGTAGCTCCGTAAATCCCGTGCCTACACACACGTGCACTTCCGACCGGCCGGACGACCACCAGGCCGAGCAAGTCGGCGACGGCAAGCCCGACCAGGATGACGGCAAGGAGTCCAACCGGTCCGACGATATCTCACCCGCGAATAGCGACGATCCGCCGAGGGATGCGGACGAGAGCGGTCAAAAGTCAGGACACAACGACACGGCCGGCGTGCCGACGGCGGCGGACGAGGCGGCCGGCAAGGCCTCCTCCGACGAGCAGAAGCCGGTCAACGAGGAGAACAGGAGGGTGCTGCGGGCTCGCGACAAGCCGAAGAAGACCGAGGGCAGACAAGCGAGCCGCAGCCGCGAACACGCGGCCGATAACAACGCGAAGCCGCTCAAGCCGGAGGCCCAGAGCTCGGAGAAGACCGACACCGAGGAGGCGCAGGATTCGACGACGTTCGACGAGACGAGCGTGCCCGAGGCCGCCCCGAAAGCGGAGGACGCGAGCGACTCGCAGAACAACAGCGAGGACGTGGACCCGCTCGAGCCGCAGGCTCGCACTCGGCGCAGCAGAGAGGGCAAGAGGCGCAGGGAGGAGCCGCCGCCTCTGGCGAGCGGCCTGAAGACGAAGCGCACCAAGCGAGACTCGCGCAAGTCCGATCAGCAGAACAAGGAGGAGACGCTGCTGGACAACGAGGTCGCCAAGATCAACGAGAACAACAGGTCCTTCCTCGACAAATACGGCGGGAGCGCCGGCGAGCGCACCACCGACAGTTTCCGCGGCTTCTTCGAGGAAGGCGCGCAGGCCGGGCTCGAGAAGAGCTCGGGCGTGCGCAGCAAGTCGGAGAACGACCTGACGACCGCCGTCGACGAGGCCGGCAAGGGCGAGGAGCGGCTCTTGCGCAACCTCTCCGAGAATCACGTGTCCAAGCGGGCGGCGGACGAGGTGGATCTCCTGGCGGACGCGTGCAAGACCCTCAAGACGCCGGAGGCGAGCGCGCCGAAGGACTCGGACGAGGCCTCGACGTCCGGCGAGTCGTCGAACAGCGGCACGCCGAAGATCCTGGAGACGCCCGAGGACAAGGCGAAGAAGGAGTCGATATTGCGCGTGTTGGGCCTGGAGTCCCTGGAGAAGGCGGCCGAGCGACTGAATCATCAGAAGGCGCGGAAGGAGCAGTACACGGGCACGTTGAAGACGATCATCCGAGTGCAAAAGGAGAAGGACAAGGAGAAGAAGGGCTCGCGCTCGCCGCTGAAAATGGTTCTCAAGCAGCAAGGTCGCGGCGACGGAGAGGGGGACTCACCTGAATTCTACACCATTCAAAAGGAGGTGAGAATTCAGGTTCCTGCCTGCCAGCAGCTCGATCGATCGAACGTAACTCATTCGCTTACCGTGCAAACTCTTTGCACTCCTTCGGCGCCGGTATTCGTTCCAGGCTGGATTCCGATATTCACCGTCGGTCACTGAAAGTCTATGTTACACGTGATAAATATGACGTAAACTGTAGATTCTTAGTACCGGCGGTGAATTTCCGAACGCAGCTATAGTCGGATCTTATATTTAAGATCGTCTCAAGTTCAGCTTCAGACACTTCGTAGCCGATGAAACGAGCCGTGCAGCATCCGAAGGTGAACTTAAGGGGATCCTAGAATCGTCCTGTTTCACCTCAAATTTGCTTCAATGCTATACACGTTACTGGTTGCGCGGAATTAAAAGTCCTTTCGCACAATTACAATACACACGTTAATGTAAAGACGACGACGGTTGACTTGGCACGAAAGACGAGGAAAAGTTAACGAATTACTATTTCCGTTTTTCGAATAAAGTCAACCGTCTTCGCCTTCGTTCACGTGTGGTGTTGTAATTGTGCCAAAGGATCTTTCGTGCAACCAGTAACGGGTATGGTTACTAGACCAAAAAATTTACAGTAAAGTAGGACGACCGCCAGGACCCCTTTAATAAGACGGTTTTAAATGTAAGGTCTGACTGTTGGTCTGTTCTTCGTAGCTGAACTGGCTGCACTAGTTCGAGAAATTTACATACACACCGAAGTGTACGAATCATACGTATAAGATTCTCACGCTTCAGTGTGCGTCGAAGTTTCTTGAACCAGCGCAGCCAGTTCTATGAAGAACAGACCATACGAACACCGGCTTTCGTCTCTTTTCTCTCTCTCTCTCTCTCTCTCTTTTCTTTTAGGATTTTTTGCGGTCTTTCTTTTTGTTCAGTTTAAAACTCTTTGACACCGACCGCATCCGATTGTCAATGACGAAAAGTTCAATATCTGTTTGTATCTATTTTTTTTTTTCCTTTCTTTTCGAAGATCAGCAGTCGAGACAGTTGTTGACGATAGTGCGCGGGTGTAAAAGCAGTAAGCCAATGGGTTAATTTGAGATATACTTGTATACTTTTATCAATCATTACGTTTTGTTTCCTTTTTTTTCAGTTTGGAACCAGTGGTTTGGGAGATAGCAGCTCTGGTGCGAACCGAAAGTTCACTACTAACCACAGACACTCTTGCGGTAATCCTGGTTGCGGGAATAACTAAAATTGATAATCTCACTTACTTTTCCTCCACTGCTTTGTCCGAAAGGAAAAAAAAAGTACCTTTTTTTAACTCTAAACGGTTATTGAGACTAGTGCAGTGTAGTGAGGATCGTTCACATTTAAAATTCATTACGATATCTCGGTAAAATTTATCGACTCGAAGTCGTTAATGCCATAATTTATTCTCCTCTTTTTCTCTCGGCGTTTTTAAAGCCACTCGCCACGATTTCAGAAAAGATACGACGCGATATGCACTGAAGTTTGCAAAATTCTCGGTTTAACCGACAACTGATTCAGTTTCGCCTATTTCCACCTGAAATCTGAAGAATCTGAGCATTTTTTTTTCTCATTTTTTCTTTTTTTACAGACCACTAGTTCCAAAAACTACACTTACACCAGCCTTATAGCCTTACACCAGCCTATATATACATGTTATGTTTTTTTTATCTTAACAATGCATGACGCTGTTGCTTTTTACATCAAGAGACCCGCTAACTTCTTTTATTTTAATGTTCTCACTAATAAACGGTTGCGTTCACGTAATCTAAGCCGGCAGAAAAGTTATATAGCGGGAGGCGGTGTCAGACGAGACGTATCTGACTTGCAATTTTATCGTCGTAGATGAAGATAACGAGGAAGCTACGCCTAAGGATCGTCAGTCGCTTGTCATTCCAGAGAAGTCCTCCTCCTTCTCTATACACCCTGAGCGCTTATGCGCCGACGTGTGTTGCTACTGTTTCGGAAAGTTCGGCTCTCTCGACACGCCGATGCATTTAGCCCAGATGAAGTCCGACGAGAGGCGCAAGAAGATCTTGAACATAGAGAGACACCTTACGAAAGACTCCTGTCTATGCGACGCGTGTTATCGTCATGTCGATAGAAAGGTTCGTCTCTCTTCTCACCGAAACCATGAGATTCCTCGATCGACCGATCAACCGGACGACTCAGAACATTCGGAAAATAATAGATCTGTTTTCTGTTCCTGAACTAGGTCTGCACTGGAACAACTTCGTTCCTTTTCTCTCTCCAACGCTGAGTTATATACAGTAAAAACCTAGTGCAACCTAGTTCAGGAACGGAAAACAGACCGAATCGTCACATGCATTTCTATCCCGTTTATCTTGCTCAGGCGAACACCAGCCCGACAAACATGCAGCAGAAGCCGCCGAAACAGCACAGGCAGCTGATGGTGTTGAAGTGCTCGGCTCGCGAATGCAGAGACCCGGCGCGGCATAACGTCAAACGCCGTTGGTTACTGAAAATAAAACCCGGTCTTCAGAATCAGGTTAATACTTGTAGCTTGACCGTCGTGCCGGAGGAATTAAGCGCGCATAAGAAAAAAAGAGCAATGTTTATTACGCGACGCTGATGAGTTCTGTTGGCTTTTTTTTTTTGTTTTTCTCGGAGCTATGCATACGAGCAATGTTCCTATATTGTAGGTTGACATAGACTGGGAATCGAGTCAACACACTTCGATGTCCTTCTGCGTCAACCACTACGGCAAGATCGAGCGCTTCTTGACGTGCGCGCTGTGCAAACGGCGGTTGGTTCGCAACCACACTCATCAGCTGGCCAGCGCGGAAATCGACGAGTTGAATCAATTGGTCGGCCAGCAAGGAATCCCCGTCATATTAGCGGCAGGCACGTTCGTCTGTAAACTATGCCGTTATTTCACGCAACTGCAGCTCAAGTACAAAGACGTCGACAATATGAACCCGAATTGCAGGAGTTTCTTCAAAAGTTATCGCAAAAGGTGAGTACGAGTCGCTCCACCAGTCTTCTGTACTTTCTCCTTAGAGATGTACGAATCAAGGATTTTTCTTATGTCAAATCGAATCGAATTGAGTGAAATCCAATCATCGAGGCGTGACTTTTAATTAACGACATGACCGTTGAATTCAGCATTATGAAAATAACGAGGGGAGACTTCGGTATGAAAGGGATAACATCGGTCTTACGATATCAACTTATTTTGATGTGGGAGATATGTATGCTTGAATATTTAGAATAAAAAATTGATACCGGTGAAATTTATTTAGGGTGGCGGAGTAATTGAAACAGATGAAAGATCATAAATCAATTGCTAAGATACTTTGAAGAGCGTTGACATTATCGGCCGTTTACAACCAATGCAGAAACTGAATAATTTTAGAAATGCATGTTTCATGAAAATATACAGGATGGTTTAAAAGTCCGGAAACGGTCAATTATCTCCGAAATAATTGATTTTATGGAGAAATGTTTCTCTTAGATAAGCTTGTTAAAAAAAGTTTGAGACATAATTAGTGTTCAAAAAATCATACTAGATAGCAATGTCTCTGTGATTGAAAATCTTAAATGAGTACTTCCACTTTTTACCACAGATTTTGATAACTGACGATGACCTTTTCAATCTACGAGACTCGCGTCAGAATAATTATAAATTGTGGAAATATTGCGATTTAAGCTAAATTTGATATTCTTATGAAATAACTCAAAATTATCATTAATATCAGTTCTTTTCAATTATCTACAGATCTATTTGATATCATAAAAATGTATTTAAACGCGTAAATTTTATTGGTATCTCTCTTACCGATGTCTTGAGTTACTGCTTTTGATATTTTTCAAGAGGATCTTAACGTACGGCGAATTTTTCAAGTCATGCCAATTCCCATAAGGCTGGACGTCTTTAACCTTGCTGTTTTGTTCGGGTCAAATAGAACAGAACAGCAGGGTTAATTAATGACTTCGTCAATTCTAAGCTATTCGTCGTCAAATCTTGTATTTAAGACCGTCCTAAGTTCAGCTTCAAATGCTGCAGAGTTGTGCAAAACTAATAATTAATTGCAATTATAAACAATTATTAACTAATAATAAGTAATTGATTCTGAAACCGACTTCTGGATTGGTTGTTTCGGTGTAACCGGTTACTTGAACCGACGCACGCATCGATTTCGAAACCGATTCTTTCGATTTCTTTCGATGTAACGATTATACCTGAACTGATTCCAGAAGTCGGCTGTACGGCTCATTTTATTGGCTGCGTTCAGCGGAAAAAGCAGCTTAATAAGCGATTTGCGCTGTGTTGCCAATAGCTTTGCAACTGTTGTAAAATTTTCTGCCGAACGACACCGGCGGTTTACGCTTTTCCAACATGTTTGTTGAGCGACCGCCCTTTTTCCCAGCATGCTTTTAATATGCTGTGGGCCGCTTAGCGAACACGTTGGAGCAGCGTAAGTTGCCAAGTGTCGTTCGGGCGGAAAATCTTGCAACAATCGCAAAGCCGCTAGCAACGCAGCGGGAAGCGTTTACCGGCTGATTTTTCTTCGCCGAACGCAGCCATTGTATTGCTAAACATCTGAAGGTGAACTTGAGACGTTCTTAAATACAAGACTACGAATATCGCCCCTGACGCGATTCGGAATCTCCTCGATTCGAAATTTCTGAACTATTCGCGCATCTCCCCTTCTTCTCGTTTCAACCGCCTCGTCCTCGAGAGTTCGTCGAGGCGGTGTTCAATGAACGACTTCACGACTTCCGTTGCTTAGGATCCTGCACTACCACGACATCGAGGTGCCCGAGTACGAGGACGAGGACGCGGCGCACAGCAGCCAGGCGAAGGAGAAACGGAAGAAGTCCGGGAAGGCCGCGAAGAACGGCGGCTCGAAGTCGCCGGACCGCGCGACCAACTCGGAGAAATCGACGCCGGAGCCGAGCAAGGGCGAGGGCGGCGCGAACGGCGCCGAGATGGACGCCGAGGGTCCGGGACGCGCGAAGGTGGCGCCGGGCGACGATACCGTCGCGGACGGGCACTATCTCAACATCGAGAAGGCCGTGGAGAACCTGAAGAAGCGCAAGCTGCTCGACCTGCACGCCTCCTACACGACGACGGAGTCGCCGGCGTCGTCGTGCGGCGACGTCTCGAACGACGTCGAGGAGATCCTGGCGATGGACAAGGAGGTCACCCTGACGCGACTGCCGAAGCGGTCGAGGACGAACAACGGCAACAACGGCGGCGCCGGTAGCAGCAACGACATCGCGCCGGTGGTGCAGAGACTCGGCGCTAACCCCTCGATAAGCGTGCGCACCCTCTTCCCGGGCGAGGAGGAGATGAACCTGCACGCTAAGATCGAGTTCGGGAACGTGCGCGAGATCACGCCGCAGGGCTGGGAGAAGTGCGCCACCATGATCCAGTACGACCGCGACACCAAGCTGCTCTGGCAGGAGCTGCAGCGGCCGTACGGCAACCAGAGCTCCTTCCTCCGGCACCTGATCCTCCTGGAGAAGTACTACCGGTCCGGCGACCTGATACTGGCGCCGAACGCCTCGCGGAACGCGATCAATTACTCCACGTCGGTGCAGAACAGACTGATATCCTACGAGGGCCCGGAGAAGATGGACGAGCCGATAATGGAGCCGATCGGCCTGCCCTCGGAGTACACGAACTCGCGCCGTCTCAGCGGCGGCTACATGCTCGAGAAGGACAACAGGCTGCCCGGCACGAGCGCCTCGGTAAAGCCGTCGACGTCGACGAAGGCGAGCTCGTCGCCGCCGCGGATGCTCAAGCTCAACACCGGGGTGTCGATAATCAAGAAGCCGCCGCCGAACCTGCAGCGGTTCGGCAGCCTGCCGTCCACCAGCACGGCGAACGGCGGCGTCGGGAAGCGGAAAGACGCCCAGAGGCCGTCGTCGTCCGGCGTATTCGGCACCAAGCTGTTTCAATACAGCGAGGCGGACATGAAGCGGCTGCAGACGATGAAGCGGCAGCAGAAGCAGTACAACGAGAGAACGACGCCCGGTGGTTCGATGCTCTCCTCGAGCTCGCCGCCCGGCCTCAAGTCGGTCGTGCAGTACCAGAAGCTCGCCCAGCACAGCCAGCAGTTCCAGCAGCACCTGCGGATGCAGCAGGAGATGCTGAACCGCCAGAGCCGCGGTGACTTCGAGCCGCTGATCTGCGACATGCGCGGCCCGGCGAACGAGAACAACTCGTCGACGCATAATCTCATACAAAATCTAAACCTGCCCAAGTCGATTCAAGTCACGACCAAGCCATCCAATCCGATCCCGATTTTGCCGAAAATTCCGAAATCGCTGACGGTGATACCGCAGACCGTCACGAGACCCGTCGACAAGTGAAAGAGAGACGGACGGAGTAAGCGCGAGAAAAGATGTAAGTAAGGCGGCGGAACATGCAGTTCTCTTTTCTTTCCTCTTGTGTTTTCTCTCGCGGCGAACGAACGATCGATCCGACGACCCGGGAGAGCGCGCGCCGACGCCGGCCGGCACGCCTCCCCGCGATCCCGTCGAAGCGCGTGATCAACGCTACATACATGATCAATTTGCCTTAACGTGAGCGCATCGCGATATGCACTTACCGAGCCTGAAGCTCAACGTTACACGCATACACCTATACACATGTACGAGGTATAATTAATTTTACGGATACATTTAAGACTAAATAAATTAGTAAGTTATAAATACATAAAAAAATATATATATATATACACATATATGTATACACACATATATATATATGCATATGTATATATATATATATTTGTTGCATCGATCGTGATCACACACAGACTCGTAGATAGTAGGTTTAATTCGAGCAAATTGTGACACCTCGATTCTAACGACATTATTATTATTAACAACCAAAGCTTCACCATAAAAAGAAAAAAAAAAAGACGCGTTAAACGAAACGTCGAACAATGCTGTTCCCACGGAAAAGTGCCTAAAGTGACATACGAACGGAGTCGTTACTTTATTATCAATTGTCTAATTACGCAGATGAGATCCGGGACTCTGGAAAGAGCGGTATGCAGATACGTGTACAAGGCGTCCGGTGAAAATCTCGCTGTACAATTGGCGGAGGGGGAGGGGGGGGGAGACGATTCCTCTCAAAGAAGAGGAAGGAAAGAGAATTAGCGGGAAGTGTGAGATAACTTCGTTTCCGAAGATTCCCCTCACGAGGATATACGGTTCTTCGCGTTCAAATCGTAGCCGTAAGCGGCAGCATTGCGGGTAAAATCGACGAGAATCGGTCCGGAATCTCAGGCCATGACTTGAAACTTGCTCCATGTGAAACACTCGGATCTGAAATTAGAATGAGAAATTCGAGTTTTTTTTATTATTTTTTTTTTTAATTTGAATCACACGTGTAATGCACGCGACGTTACATTTGAAATCGCGATTCAGCTGAAAAAAATCGCATTTGATTCTAAATTCATGTATGGGTACCTGGGGCAAGCTTCAAAGACTACTAATACGGGTCTGAGAGATGTTCATAGTCGAGTAACAAAATTAGTCGCGGATATTAGCGCACGCGCGAGATTGTGTAATCGGAAATAAATTTGCAGCAAAATTTCCATAAATTTGCAATGAAGCAACGGGAAGATTGAAAGCTCTCGGTAACCTTGGTAGCTCTTAATGACGTTGTAAAAAGACATTATTCATAAATAAATAATTACGTAAATTATCGCGATAATTATAAATAATCGTGATACACAATCATTCGCGCATCGACGTCCGCTCTCTCGTAGTTCTCCGCGCGTTGGCTCTTTTCTTTTTTTTTTCTACTTTTTTTATTCAACTTCGATCGCGCGTTATCGAGTTCCTCCGAATGAATTTACGTAACATAATTGCGGCGCCTCACAATTTTACCTTACCGTTTCGCAGGATTCGAGTCCAAACCGACTCCTCCGTATTGTGCTGGGCTTTCTCTCACGAGGGAAATCGTCTCGCCGACGAATGTATCGCGATTCACCGGACGCCCCGCGTATATATATGTGTAGAACGAATTTACCATTGCGACAGCATTGCATCCGAATTAATTTAAAAGCGTACCGCTTCTGTTATTCTCCTCTCTTTCTTCTTTTCTGTCCTCCCCCCCCCCCCCCCCCATTTTTTNTTTCCTTTCACCACATCGAGTTAGGAGCAACGTAGCGGGGTGGGTGGGTAAATGGGGTAGGTAGGCTGTTTCGGTAAGATCCATCGCACGAAAGGGGAGGATGTAAACCATACGGAGAAAGAATTTTGTTAAGCTCACTTTACTTTCCTTTTATTTTTTTTTATTTTTCTCCCCCTCATCAATTTGATCGACGCATCGGACATATCTATTTTTCGTAGGGATTAAGGGGGAGGGGGATGGCGAAAAGGGTGTAGAGAGGAAAAAGAGATAGAGTTATATATACATATATAAATATATATGTATATATCGGAATCGTGCGATCACACACAGACGACGATTGTTATCGGTAGTTCGTTCCTCTTGCAACGCGTCTGAAGAATAAAAGGAAGAAAAAAGAATTTTGATATACACGGATACTTACACACATTCATACAAAATACACGTACACACTCAAAACAAGCAAACAAACAAAAGTCGCGCGGCGATCGCATGCGAGCGGTGCACCGCGGGTCCGTATATTTTGTCTATGCGCAGAAGAGAGAGAAGTTCTTTCTCGGACGTCCCGAGAGACGCGAGGATCACGTCGCGGGACGCCGAATAATTTGTAAATTATTATCAATATTGGCCTGCTCGACCTTAGGATGATATTGTAAGTAAATAACGACTAGATAGGTGCACACGAGAGAAGACGGGGGATTTACGTTTGTAAAACGAAACGCCGCGCGGTGTTTAAGCGCGTGCGAGATAGGGCGAGATACGCCACACGTAAGGGGAGAGTTAGCTGTAGATTTACGTTCTTGAGCTTATTTATTACGTTATTATGCGTTAACGCATTGTACATATATAGAACGATAATTATTCGATACTTTTTAATTGACGGTACGATACATATACGCAGACACGTACACACACACAGACACACGTATCCCGTCCCGAGCGATCCGACCTCGCGACCGACGAGGACGACGTTGGATCGGCGATTAAGGGTTGTTTCTCGCTGCCGTCCGTCCGGACGACGGCAGGCGGGAGCCTGTCGATCTTCGGTCGAAACATTCCTCGGCGCTTTTGCATTGGATTGTTCACGGTATCCGCGTCACCCTCACGATACGAAACTATCATGGAATGTTTCTACGCGGGATTGACGAGTCGTCCACCTGTGCCGTCTAAACGGATAGAACGAGAGTCAACTTTGAAGCGGTGCGCGTGAGTTTTCGGTGGACATTCGGATTCCCGAAAAAAAAAGTATCGAAATTCAAGAAATAGCACAACGTTCCGGAAAGTCACAGTATTGAGAATTGAATTCTTCGATAAAGTTGTATAGTATTATTGGAGAGAGAGCAAATTTTTATTTTGAGTGAACGATAATGAGTTTTTCTAATATTTTAATACTATATCAAGAAAATATCAAGAAAATATTCTTCATTCGAGATAATCATTATTAAAAGAAAATAAATAAGAAGCTAAGTAATTGCTTTTCTTCGCAATATAAGATTTTTCTCTATGTATGCAATTATCCAGAAAAATCCCGAAAACTAAATATCAGACCAATCTCCTGAAATATTGGAAGAAAATAAAGTGGCAAAGCTACTTCTTCCAATATTTCGGGAGATTGTTCCGATATTCAGTTTCCAGGATTGCGACTTTTCGGGATAATTGTATGCTTTCAATATTTCGTGGAAGTTGTATCTCGGGAGATTTTCCCGATATCCAGTTTTCCGGGCTGTGACTTTTCCGATATGTTGTCCCGCTTCTCAAATTTCGGGACTTCGATTATTCGGGATTACATACATCCACCGAGGGTTTCGGGAATTTTTCGTCCCCCTTTCCCCATCCTCTGCGTTTTTTCATTCTTCTTTCCGGTTTCCCCGTTTTCCCTTCTCACGCGGTCGCGTGAAGAAAAATGCGGCCGGTCGCGGGCCTCTTCTGTCATTCTGCATTCGTCGCGCATCGCGTCACGTTCCTGTTAACATGCGAGATTCTCTTCGCGCGCCGCTGTTCCGCAAACTGTCGGCGGAAAATTCCCTCGCTCGAGTCCTACGACGCTACACAGACGACGGCGGAACAAACAGCCGCGGGTCAGACACGTCGGAACGGTATCTCTGATCAATTGGCCACGTGCGCCTCACCTCTCGCGACCTTTTGCGCGCACAGTCGCGAGGTGTGCAGACGCGAGATTCGTGTCTCGTGTTTTCTCCGAAATTTGTCGCGGGGCGACCTCCCGCGTGCACGGATTTGCATGAAATTTCTTCGTAAATTTTCTCTGTTTCGAAGTCGAATTGTGGGAATGCTGAATTGATTTCTACCTGGAATGCGTGTGCCTAACGAAATGTACGAAATGAAATTACGCGTTTCTGATCGAACACCGTAAAAGAGAGAGAGAGAGAGAGAGAGAGAGAGAGAGAGAGAGAGAGTCAAAGAATGTGCGAGTTTGACTCACAAGGGAAGGATTCGAAATGTTGTCGCAGAATGTGCGATACATCGTTCGAAATATTCAATGAATACAATGAATACTTGTTAACGCCAAAATTTTGCATGCGAACATATTTTATGGCCTTCTATCTATAAGAACATAATTTGATTCTGCAACCCGCGGACAACCACATGAACCTTCCCTTGTCAGTTCGCTTTTACGCACAATCGCAGTAATAGCCTAGAGATCGTGGATTTTTATCACCAACTATAGTCACAATTGTCCTGAATCATTGTATCGTAGATTTTCATTGTTGTATTATCGCGTTATTCGCATCCTTGTTATGTACACACAGATATAGCTGACTTATATTTATATTATTTATCACAATTAAGCTTCTCACACATTAGTTTTACATTATTGGTAAATACGCGCTTACCCTTATCATTACTGCTCGCATTCAGTTTCGATCGAAATCCCGCTTCACCCCGATTCGGTCGAGTCTCGATGGGCGATCTCAATTTTCTAGTCTAATATCGGTTTAAATCCCCCTTCGTGTCGTCGGAGAATGAAATATATTCAGCTAACATCTCGTCTTTCACTAGATTTTACCTCTTTAATATCGCCGTGCAAGTTGGAGGTCCCCTCGAGAGAGGAGGAGCGGGCGATGGGCTTGTAAAATTTTGCTTGTTTTCAGCTCGCACGAATTACGAAAGAAAGCGTCGGCTCGCACGTGGCCTTGATTTTTATCATGCATGATTCATTCAATCTGATGCACACACGGGAAAAAATTCACCTTTAATCAATGGTGGATTTTCTCTTATATAATCAGGAATATGATAATATCCTAGGAGATTTTTTGTCTTTATTCGATTGAATTTGTATCGGTGAATTACTCGCGCTCAATTCAAGACTAAAAATCTTCCAAAAATATCGTAATATTCTTGCTTATACATGAGATTAATATCTATCGTTGATTTAAGATGATTTCTTTTCTGCGTACAGATTTGATCGTTGCCGTTGTACACGTCAATCTCAACGTTTCACTGCGTTCGCACACTCAACCAATGATTTTACAGCTATTTTACTATCGTCCCGACTTTATCTACCTTACAGCCGGGACTCGCACCATTTTACACATTACACATACGAGAATTTCCAACGGTTACATCATTTTTGTTGTTTCTCCGCACATCCGCGATATCGTCTCGCGAATCGAGGTGCTCGCGATAACGATTAACGTCATTGAAGTTAATCGTCGTTCGCAATTTTCGCGCGAGGTCGCGAGGCGTTTTTTCTTTTTTCGGCACGTCGAGAGAGACGCGATTTCGCGCAAGAGAATCCCAGCAACCGCGGAGGAACGGTACACATATTCCTCTGATCATAATAATGTACATATATAAAATATCCCTCTGTGAACATTGAGGACATGTAGATATATTCTGCGACGTAAAAGTACACACGTTCGTACACACTCGCAGATATACATACACACGTACACTGACACATTGAGAAACACAGATACGTACACTTTTACATATACGAATATATAAAACGCATACACTTGTGCGCGCGAATGTACGAATGAAGGTATGTGGGTATTAAATGTATAATATATATAATACACGGCGTTATAAATAAATATATATATAGTATATATACATATATATATAGTAGATATAACACTATAATATAAAAAGCACTTCGCGATATGTTATACATATAAATGCTCTATTTTACTGAGGATATTTTTGATATATATCTATATATATATATATGAATATATATATATATATCGACGTAAAGAGAGAGCACTGGCGATATAGCGATTGATCGGTGACACAGATATCCTTATCGAACAGCGACGGGATTATCTAAACTCGTAAAGAGCCGTTTGTGGAGTGTGCTGCAAAAAAAGAAATATATATATATATATATATATACTTACACTATGTAGTGATTATGTGAAACGAGATGGGAGCGGACAGAACCAGTGCGACGCGTACGATGCCGCGGGATTGATTCTCTTGCGTACGCGTGTCAATTTTCACCTTCTCACATCTCACACATCTCTTGTGATTCATGAAATTTTAGCGATTAGGTGATTCGCGTGATTTGTTATTGACTGAGAGAGAAAAAAGAAATAGGAAACGGATCGGTCGCAACGGGGTGGGACGACCTCGTCGTCGTCGTTGCGTCCGCTCCTCCTTCCTTCTCGCGACAAAAGGGAGGAGAAGGAAGAAAGGAAAAGAAAGATGACTCGATCACTTGTTGTTGCCGTAAGATTTGTTACTGTCGATCCTTGCAGTTGTACACGTCGTCGCGATATGTGCGCGCGCGCGAAAGATTCTGTATATATATTTTATCTTCAACGTGTAGACTTTTCCTCATGTTTTTCTTTCGAGGTGCCGCGCCAGGGCGATTATAATCTCCATGAAGGGGCGAGAAAAGCACGGGAGAAGACGCTTCGTCGTCGGCGCCCGGCTTTTCCTCATGTATTATTTCACACGCGGAATCAAGTTATTATATTTGTATACTCTCGTGCGGAG